CATCCTCGTCCTTGTCGATACTGACTGCGCTCAGAACACGCTCCGCGTTGATGTGCTGGGGGGGAGGCAGCGGGCGAAGTGAAGGAGTGTGGCGAAAAGGGGTAAGGGATCTTGACAGCTGGCCGATGTTGACTGGGTGGACCCCGCCCGCCCACTCCCTTGTCTATGATCATCGCACATGGAACCTGCTCCGCGTTGATGTGCAGCGCAAGGGGGCTTGGGGAGGGAGGGGGGGGAGGGAGAGGGAGGGGCAATCAACCCTAGGCCCTGCTTGCATCCACCCAAAACCCCGAACCCTGGATACACCTTAGGCAGTGGCATCTGGACCAGCACGCCGTGCGCGTCCCGCATCGCCGCCAGCACCTCCTCCTTGCTCATACCCCAACCCCGCCAAGACAACCCTGATAAACCCAGAAACCTGAACCACCTTAGGCAGTGGCAGCTGCACCAGCACGTCCGGATTATTATTCAGCTCCAGCACCGCCGCGACCACCTCCTCCTCGCTCACATCCCAATCCCAGCCGAATTCCCCACTAAAACCCAGAACCCTCAACATACCTTGGGTAATGGCAGCTGCACCAGCACCCCGTGCACGCCCGGGTTGTCGTTTAGCTCCCGCACCGCCGCCACCACCTCCTCCTCATTCACACCCCAATTCCAGCAAAATTCCCGACCAAAACCCAGAAACCTGAACACACCTTAGGTAATGGCAGCTGCACCAGCACGCCGTGCACGTCCGGGTTGTCGTTTAGCTCCCGCACCGCCGCGACCACCTCCTCCTCGCTCACGTCGGCCGGCAGATCCACACCGAAGCTCGTTATCCCCGTTTCAGCGCACGCCGCTTTCTTCATACGCACGTACGACTGCGAGTCCTTCCGATCGCCCACTAAAACCACCGCCAAGCCCGGCGTCAGGTGCACGCCCGGCAGCGCCTGGATCCGCTTCACCTCCGCCGCGATCTCGCGCTTAATCTCCTCCGCGATCGCCTTCCCGTCGATTAAAGCCGCCTCGTCGGTGGGGGCGGGGGCGGCAGCTGTGGCGCCCTCCGCGGCCGCGGCGGCTAGTAGCGCGCGGAGCGAGTTCTGCGACGACTCTAAGGTAGGGAGAGTTTTAAGAACGTTCTGCCAGGCGCGGCTCCGCTGGCCGCTGCTGCTGCTTCTTAGAGACGAAAACGCGGCGCTTCGGCCGGCCGCGGCGCGGGTCACGGCGGAGCTCGAAACGGAGCGCGCGGGAATGGCGGCGCGAGAAACGGGAAACCCTGAAGGCGTTGGAGAGGGGAAATGCGAGAAATGCGAGAAGCTGAAGCTGTTAATAGGCAGTGGAAGAGTGAAGGTGCGCGGAGGATGTAACGCAGTTGCAGAAGGGCAGCAACTGCAAGAAACAAAAAAAACTAGTGGTTATGGATCGACTCACCATCAGCGGAACGGGATGACGTCACACAAGGACCAGATCTGTGCGGATTTAGCGCGATCCGTCGATTAATGCCGTCCTTCACCGGGGCAACCGCGCCGCCGGCGCAAAAAGACGAGGCCCGAGACGAGAGATTGATCAGCATTGGCACGGAAATCGCGGGACGGCAAATCAATCCGAAAGACGGCAATCTCATAAACCACGCTGCACGGTCATACAACCAGCGCGAGAGTTTTTATTATTTGTGTTTCGCCGAACTCGTAACGCAGACGAAAGCCGTGCAAACCACAGCCAGATACAGTGGTAGACGCCGGGCGGCAGTAGTATCAACCAAGCCCAACGTAAAGCGGTAAGCGGTAACGCGGTCACGCGGTAACGTAGTAACGCGGACACAATGGCAGGTCCGATCCGAGCACAGAGATGCCTCTAGAGCATTGCCACGGCAGAAAACACGCAGTAGACTTAGTGCAACTGATCCCAGTGCAGCTGATGCCGCGTCTGCCACGCGTTTAATTCTACCATGCGGAAAAAGCAACGCTTTATGAGAAGGTAAGCGCCTCCCAGTCAATGACTTAGTCCTGCGAACTAGACTGTAATTCTGGGAACGGCAGGACATGTGCTGTGTTTGGGTGGGTTGGGTCGTATGATGCAAGCGAGATGTGCACCCTAAGGTAGAGCTCGGTACTAAGTTATAAGTAATGGTGCATCATATTATAAGATAATACTTAATGCAACTACTTAGAAGCCGTAGACCGTGGTAGCATTGCCAGACATTGCGGATGGTGGTTGAAATGATAGGGATTGATTATCTGGGATATTGGATGATATCTGTGCAATATATTTGCACAGTGGTTTTCGCATTTGAAAAGGATATACCAATACAAGACCCATAGTTTTTTTTGTCACCTAAAAACCTTAAAAGGAAAGCTGAATTCGAATATGTACAATATGGACCTTGTTACATTGCTGGTTTTGAAGCTAGCAAACTGAGCTTGTTTTTGTCACCCCTTTGTGAGACTGTCTTTTCGAAGATTGCACTAGCGAGGTATCTTGTGATGTGGGGGATACAGTAGCAGAATGTCTTTCTCGCCCCCATGGACTTGGAATGGATTAGGTTGCTGACTCACTCGTATCTAGCAGTGACTGGATTCTGGTGTGGGACTCGCAATTAGTGACGTAAACCTGACGCCTTCTCAGATTGCTCCTCCCTGCGATTTGGACTTCCATTTCAGCGCGCCGAATATCCTTCCAGTGTTTTTCCGTAACGTGCCTACGCTTCCGTCTGTCACGTCAGGAGGATGCCTTTTCTGGATTCCCTCGGCCGGAAATGGCGGGAACGTGGAGTCGCGGGGAAAGCCGTGAAGCCGAGCTGGAAGATTCGCTGTGTTGGAACTGGTCCTGATTTGTCAAACAGGTTGCGCCACGTCATTCTTGGGTAAAGCCAGCTTGATACGTACGACTCTACAGTTCATTTCTGTTCCGGCCTAGAAGAGCAAACGAACCGACCTCGCGCTCTGGTGATTCATGAGGTGCCCGATTGGTCTGTTGGAATTGGAGGTCAAAAGGCTGCCCTTCAAAACCAATTCCAGAAATTGGTCCCTGGCAGTCTGCTTTCTACCTGCCAAGGTGACCTGGAAACTGCCCGTTCTGTTGTGGCAAGCACCAGTCCATACCCAGGTTCACTCAATTGGTTCCGCATGCCGGAATGATGGCAGAATGCCAACTGTTGCCATCTGTCGGTCAACCTTGAATGGGGCAACTCCCTCCCACAGGCTGGAAAGGCAAACCAGCGACGCGCAGGGGTTGCCGAGACTACAGTGACATCGTCAGATCGCGAGGCGTTTCGTTTCACGTTTCATGAACCAGGAGAATGAGAGATTTTTCACGCAGTTACAGTACTTTCGTTACATTCGTCACGAGGAAATACCCCCTCAACTGCTTTAGCGCGCCAAGCGGTACGGCTGCTGCGACAACCACGCTTATGTTCTCCTTCGCATGGCAGGGTCAGCGATCAGTTCGAAGCCAGAACCTGTAATGTTCGGATGAAATGTGCCCGAACTTCGACATTGTTTCATTTATTTTACAACCCCTCCCAAAAAACTGCCAGCAAACCTCCTGAAGGGATCACATGTACAATGAGGACGGAATCATGACACGCGGCCCGCAAGTCCATGGCGCGGTCTGCCCCCACGGAAAGCCAACCGAACCGAACTGAAACCCCTCCCCAGTCAAAGCGAAGCAGCGAATTCAGACGCACGCGCCACATGGATCGACTCCGCGCATGCAATGCATTCCCCCTATTTGCGCGTCCCTGCCTACACCCGCGGTGTTCGGCCCACCCGCGCCGAACAGCGCCCAGGTCAGCAACGATTTATTCACGTGATTGTGACTCATCCGCTGCGCGCATCCCTCCCGCCACACCTACTCTCGTCCAATCAACTTGCGCGCCTGAATTTCATTTCACACCCGAACCCCGCTCCGCGCAAATTCCACGCACTCGTCGCCTTGACGTCACGTCACAATTGCCCCTCGTGCGGTTGCGTGTTCACAACCTCCATCCACCTGGATCCCAACCACATCTGATCCCCCTCGATTTCATTTTCGTTCCATCCCATCCCATCCCATAATTCTTCCCACCCCATACCACATTCCATCATCACAAACATCACAGCCCCGTTCGTACCCCAGCAGCAACCACTGTCACTCTCCCCGCACATCTACTCGTGGTCACCACGCCTCACTACCTCACTGTAACACACCAAAAACCTCTGATCCGCACTTCTCCAGAAAGTCGCCTCCGTGCTCCGCTGGTCCATCTCCTCTGCTTCCTGCTTCCTGCCTGCCTGCCTCTATCCGTCCGTGCCTCCGTCGGCTCCGCTGCGCTTCCCCCTCGACCTCGAGAAACGCCAAGCTACGACTGCGACCAGACCAGATCGTTCCCCTCTCCCTCATCTATTTCGACAGTATTCTTCCCTCGCTTCCCTCCTTCCCATTCCCTCCTTTCCCTCCGCGACAACGTTCCCCCCCCCCCAAATGCGACACCGAAACCCCACGCGACACTGAAGCTGGTCAGCTTACCTCGGCACGAACAGGCATACTTCCAGAGCCAATCGCGCGGCAGAATCACTCCATTGTTTCCTTGATTTCCGCACATTTCACACCGCCTTCAACTCCCAGCCATTTGTTCCTCTCAGCTTTCTCTGCTCTCTGCCTTCTGCACGCTCTGCTACCTGGTCCTCCTGGTCTCGCGTCGGGACTTAGCCGTCTCTGTCGCTCACATCGCATCTCTTCCGTTGCCCCGACGGAATGTCGACGGTCGCCTCTTATGCTTGCCTTGCCTCGTACTGACTGGCCAACATAAAGCAGAGCCATTCGAAAGGAGCCATACCTCACCTCTCTCACACATACCGCGAGACCGTCCCTTCTCGCGTCTCTCGCTCGTTCGCGATTTTCGTCGCGATTTCCCCTCAATTCTCTGTCTGTCGTACGGCGACAGTTTACTCAATTTGTCCAGACACGTCACGTCTGAGAACGTGTTAGACTGCTTTGACTGATTGTGATTGCATGCCGTCTCGCAGGAGACACTGACAATGCCTGGAATCTTTAACATCTGGCCCGCACACGGGCCCGCTACTGCTAGCAGTAACTTCAGAACTGCTCCCGCCGCATCTTCCGCTGCATCTGCCGCTGGGAATTTCTTCAGCAAGCAGGAGTACCTGTCTTTCGCCGTTGACCACCACGTCGCGACAAAACCGGCGGACCTGCTACTGACTGCGGAGCTCTCCGCAATCTCCGGCGCGATTCCCGCTCCGGTGTTGCCGCATCAGACGCCCGCTTCCCCCGCGGTGAAATCGCTGCTGTTCAACCAGCCGTCGATCTCGCCGCACAACCCGCCGCGACTTCCGCTCGGCGGAATTGGCGCGCTGCAGCAAATCCTTCGTACCGCAACTGCCGGCGCTAATACCGGCGAACGGAGCCGCGGCTGCGCTAGCGGCACCCTTCTCGCAGGGCAAATTTCTGCAGTCGGCGGTTCGGCAGCTGAAAAGTCTGCAGCGACAAAGGCGGGGGAGAGCTCAGCGGCAACTGCGGCGGTGGCTGCGGCGAATAGCGCCAGCAGCCGAGGTCTGCATTTAATCCACGGGGCATGGCCGACGGGCAGTCATGGGAAGACCGCCGCAAGCCACGGCGCCAAGAGCGGTGGCAGCTACGACAGCAACAGGTGTGTTTCGAAGCACTTGAGTTTGCGATGATGTTTCTGTTATCACTTCCCTCCTCCCTCACAACCCCCGCCTGCCCCTGCTCCCATGGTTTTTATCCCATTTTGTCTCTTAGACCGCTGGTTTACCCGTTTTCGTTTCACTCATCCCTCCCTTCCTCTCTTCCCCACTTCCCCCTCCCCCCTCCCGCCTCCCCTCCCGCGCTCCCCTCCCCCGCTTCTCTTCTCCGCTCCTTCTCCTGTGCAGTTCCGGCAGCGCGCACGATCCGTCGTCCGTGTGTTTGGCGGAAATGGTGTCCGATTTCATGGAGACCGGCTCGGCTGAGAGCCACACGCTCGACCACCGCCTGCTTGACGCGATTCACGGCAGCGAGGGTGGCTATAACGCGGACGTTTTCTCGCGCATGGCGGAGCAGGACGCGCAGGCTCCGCGGATGGGCGAGAGCGGCGGGTGGTGCGGAATGGGGGACGTTTCGAGCCTCGTTGAGGTGAGGGGAAGAGCGGATAAAGGGAAGAGGGAGGGGGGGAAGGCGGAATGGGAATGGGAATGGGGATGGTTAATGGATGGTACCAATGTAGTTACTACTTTTTTTTTGGATTGTCCTTTTCCTTTCCTGCTTCTCGTTTTTCTCGTTACTAGCCCCTTTCATTGTGGAATGCTCAATTCACCTCTTCCCCTTCCTCTCCGCCCGCCCTTCCCCCTCCGCTCCTATTTCCCCTCCCCCAGTCCCTTAGCGCCTGCACCTCCGCGGACGAGTGCCAGCTGTTCGCTGACGTCATCGCCGCCCTAAAAACAGCCAAGAAGGAAGCCTCTTCCTCAAACGCCGCAGGCGCCAGCAGCAGCACCGCCACCAGCGGCAGCAGCAATACTGCCACCAGCGGCAGCAGCAGCAATACCGCCACCAGCGGCAGCAACAGCACCGCCACCAGCAATACCGCCAGCAGCAACACCGCCAGCAGCAGCAGCGGCAGCAACGGCAACCTGAGGCGTTCTGTGATGTGCCTGCTGCGGTCGAAAGGGTACGATGCTGCCGTGTGCAAGGCGCGGTGGGAGCACTCCAAAGGCCTCCCTGGCGGCACATACGAGTACATAGACGTCATTCTGCCCTGCCACGGTGGTGCTGCTGCTACCACTGCTACCACCGCCGCCGCTGCCGCTGGCAACCCCTCGCCGTTCTCACCATCCGATCGAATCATTGTAGACATTGAGTTTCGAGCGCAGTTCCAAATCGCACGTCCCACCTTCGCCTTCGACGCAGTCGTCCACTCCGCTCCCATCATTTTCGTCGGTCGTCTCAACCGGCTGTTGAAGATCACTGAGGTGTTGGCTGATGCGACGAGGCAGAGCTTGAGAGAGCAGGGGTTGCACCTGCCGCCCTGGCGCCGGGCCGAGTATCTCCGGACCAAGTGGGCCGGACCGTACCGGAGGACCACGAACCAGATTCCGAGGTCCGGGAGCAGCACGCAGCTGGCTGGTTCGAGAACGAGCCTGGTGGCTCCGGCTGCCGCTGCTGGCGATTCTGCTGATCTGTTTAGGCTTCGCTCGTCACGGCAGCAGGCTGTGTTCGGCTGGCGAGGACAGGAGATGCATCAGCAGCAACCCCATCACCAGCTGCATCACCAGCCGCATCACCAACCCCATCACCAGCCTCGTCAGCAACCCTCCGTTGCTGCCTCACGGCCGGTTTTCCTGCCTCTCAATGCAGCGCGCCCTGTCCCTGCCATGTTCCCTGCACCGCCCGCCGCCGCTGCCCCGTTGGCTGTGTCTGGTAACCCGTTTGCGGTAACCGAGAAGAGGAACACGGTTACCGCCTACGGGAAGAAGCCGAGCGCGGTTACCGGATTCGGGCGTGAGGCTGTGGAGGTTGATGTGTCGGGTGCTGTAATGACGGCAGAGCGTGTCAGCCAAGGGCATGGTATTGTGATGCGGAGTGGTGTGAGTAACGTGAGCCAGATTGGGTTGGAGATGCGGAGACTGGCAGAGGAGAGAGCGTACAGGCAGCACGGTTACTGCTGATAATGCTGGTTACCACTAGTTGCAACAGCGCAACAGCAGCTACTGATGCTGATGCTCGTTGCTGCTGGTGGTTGGGTGGCTGAAGCAGCAGTTTACAGCTGTGAGCTCAGCTGAGTCAGCTCTGCTGACATGTGCAACGTATACGGAGGGGCATTTTAAACTTTGCCCAGTTTTTTTTTCCACTTGAGGCGCCTCAAGATCCCGGTGCTGCAGGCAGCAGCGGAACCACTTTTATGTGGCGGGACTTACCCTTTTTCGCCACATTGCCTTCAATGGTGGGAGTTTCCCACTCGCCTAACCGTTGTGAAGGCACCGTTCATCCTATCCAGCTTTTGTGAAGGATGCAATTTTGTTGAAATGTTTGGGTTTCCTTGGGAGTTTTGTCAGTTCTTTCATGTGTTCCCTTGTGTGCCCTTCTGTGTGCATATAAAATGATTTGCCGTTTCCTATGCGCAAGTGCGGCTTGCTCAAAATTATTTTCTTTGTAAATGAATGAAATAGAAAATTACCGACAAAATCGTTGAGTGAAATCGGCTGGTACTTGAAAGTGAGTGAAAGTCATGCTATGCAAAACGTTTAGAGTTATAAAACACACTTCGCCTGGGCCTCAAATTCCCCTCGAATTTGTCGAAACCAGTCTGACAGCACCCCTCCGCCAATTTATACTTAGCCCAGGCCTTGAAAACTCCGCACGGCTCGTGAATGACTTCCCTCCCCCCCATGCCTGCTCGTCCCTACCTCCCTGATGGCAGTCCTGTTTGTTCACTGATACGGCGCAACTAGGTTCTGTACGTTTTACGGCGGTGACACTTATCTTCAGAGTGGTTGGGTAAAATAGTTTTCGGTGCACAACTGAGAGAGTTCAAAAACCGCCGCCTGATCATTTCATTACCTGGTCGTTCATTGGTTTTTGGCTTGCAAACGCTGGTCATTAGTCTTAGGCAGCTTGGCTTCGTAGAGGACGACGGAATTGGGCTAAAAAATCTCCAACAATGACGTATTCTGTCACGTAGGACGTCGTCATCGTGCAGAAGAAACATTCCTGATTGTCGTGTTCCCAGAAGAAACATTCCTAATTGAAGAAGAATTTCTCATTTCCGATTCACCAAATTCTTAGTTGATCCTTAGAGGAATGCTCTGATTCCGGACAAGGTGCGTTGCCTCGATGGCTCGCTCCGCGTGGCCAGCACGTGAAGGCACGTCGCTGCCACGTGGCGCTTTGCGGAGCCACGAAAGTCTGTGCATCTTAGGTCTGATCTTCGCTACAATTACGTCGTTGGCGATACGAGTGGTTGCGGGAACGACGGATTTTCACCTGGATCGCAGTTGCATTGTTCCATTGAGCTCACTTTCGCAGAGAATACGCAACTGCAGCAGCAGAATAAGCGTCAGCAGCGTCAGCGCCAGCAGCGTCAGCAGCAGCAGGAGGTGTTGCAAGAACAGAAAATCTGGCGATCATTCCGAAGCAGCACCAGACGCAACAAAGGAAGAAATGGATCATGAGAGGCCTGCTTGCTGGCTGGGTATTACAGGTCATTTAGCGGACACTAATTGCTTCGATACACGCTCATGCTCGAGCTGGGAAGAGCCTCTTGATAGAGCTAATAAGGCGGATGACTGTGACCAGAATTCTGCACAGGGTGATTGCTGTTCATGGCCGGGTTCGGGACGAGGGTTGGAGTCAGGCTCGGGGTTGGAGCAGGTAACAGGGCTGGATTTTGAGGTTTGGAGGGAAGGATGGCAAGACGAACAGACAGAGGGGAAGGGAAGACCGCAAGGAGGCACTGATGGGACAGAATTCGTTAAGATTCGTCCATCTCAAACTGAAGCTGTCAGTACTGCAGAGGAGGTTTCCAAGGCAGGAGGCCAGGCTCGGGTAGGGACTCCGAGGCTCGGCAAAAAGGGTTCCGAGGCTCAGGCTCGGGATGTTCGCATGGAGCCTGTGGTAGACGAGTGGATAGTCCGGTTCACTTCATACGAACCTGTGGAGGTGCATCGGCAAAGGCTGTTAGATGCTCTAGAATCTCCCCGAATCCCGGACGCTAGCCAATCAGGAGGCTTTACTGGAAGCACTGGAACAGGAAGCGGTGGCAGTCAGTCAGGAATTGGCCAATCGGGTGCAGCCAGATGGCACTGGGTAGAAAGGACGAATCCAGCCATGGCCTTCCCAACGGATTTTGGCGTTTTGCTGGTTGAGGGAGCTGAGAAGGAGGGGGAGGACGGGGAGAGCGGGACAGGGGGCAATGTGTGGGGGGATCTGAAGCGTCAGATTGAGGCCTTTTCGTTTGTGAAGGATGTACACCGTCAGATGAAGTACACTCGCTCACTGATGTACAGTGATGGGGAGCGGGAAGGAGGCGAGAGAAAAGGTGTTGGAAATGAAAATGAAAGGAGGAGAGGAGGAGAGGGAGGAAAGCAGAGAGGAGGAGAGAGAGGAATAAGAGGAGGAAACGGAGGGAGTGGGGCAGGCGTTGAAGGAGGAGAGACAGATAAAGGTGAACAGGACCCATGGCTCGAAGGGTGGGGGGAGGAGGAGGAAGGGGGGGGATGGGATGTGAGGGGACCAGTGAGGAAACCTCCTGGAAGGCTCCGAACGAGGATGTCGTTTGAGGAAGGGAAGATTCCCGAGGGAAGAGTTGGAGGATCTAGGGGTTTGACTGGGAGGGTTCAGGGTTTTGGGGTTAAGGGCGAGGGGAAGAGAGGCAGGCGAAAGAAGGACGAGGAGGCGGAAGAGGATAGGATGCGTGTGGGTGCGAGAGAGTTGAGATGGGTGGAGAGCGGTGGAGAGGGAGGGGAGGCAGCGGGTGCGACCGTGGGACAATCAAGAAGCAGGAAGAGGAGAGGGATGGAGGAAATGAGTATAGAAGAAAGTAGGAGAAGGAATAGAGAGAAGAGGCGAAAGTGGCAGAAGAGGCGTCTTGAAGCGTCCTTTGAGGGAAAGCATGTGACTCTCCCACATGAACTGGCTTCTATTTCTGGGTCGTTTCACACTAGGGCCTGGAATGTGTCGGCTGCTGCTGTCAACCGCCGACACCTGATGCAGGTGGGAAAAGAGGCAGGTGGGAATAGAGGCAGGCAGGGCTTGATGCAGGCTGGTCTTAGATCACGTCTCAGTTCCATATGGTACGGCTGCGGACTATGGGCTTCAATGGGGCTCATGTCAAACTGATCTGATCGTGAACTCATTTCCATCCATCCTCACCGCTCTGCACCCCTCCGTCCCTGTGCCAGGCGCACAAGTCTCAGATCACGTCTCTGTTCCACGCGGAACGGCTGTGGGCCAAGGGCTTCAGTGGGGCAAACGTCAAGATGGCTGTGTTTGACACGGGCGTGCGGGCAGACCACCCGCACTTCCGCAATATCAAGGTGAGAATGAGGCCATTAGAACCAGGTCATTAGCCCAACCACTCCCACTCTGGAATATGAACTAGAGAATAAAGTCACTAGGCCGCCTCCAATTCCGTTACATCAAGGGGTGAAAATCAAGCATCCGTGCCCCTTATTCACCCCTCTGTCATTCAGTCAAGCCCATTCAATCATACAAGTCGCCCATCCCAGCCCCGTTCCACCACCACATCACCAGGAGCGCACCAACTGGACGAACGAGGACACGCTGAACGACAGCCTGGGCCACGGTTCCTCCATCAGCCAGTCAGTTACTCCCACCCACCCATCCAACCCCCTCGCACGGAACAGGAGCGCACCAACTGGACGAACGAGGACACGCTGAATAACAGCCTGGCCACCGCACCTTCGTGGCAGGGGTGATCGCCAGCTGTGACTCTCTCGTTCATTCCCCCTCGTTCAATCATCCGATTGCCCCACCCCGCCCACATTCCGCCCCCATTCCTTCCCCCCCACCAGGAGCGCACCAACTGGACCAACGAGGACACACTAAACGACAGCCTGGGCCACGGCACCTTTGTGGCAGGGGTGATCGCCAGCTGTGACTCGCACTGCCGTGGGTTTGCCCCCGATGCAGATATCTACGCCTTCCGAGTGTTCACCAACGCGCAGGTGGGTCCACACACGCGGTTATTCGCTGTTGTTCTCAAGCTGGGGTGAGTGATCGCCAGCTGTGACTCGCACTGCCGTGGGTTTGCCCCCGATGCAGAGATCTACGCCTTCCGAGTGTTCACCAACGCGCAGGTGGGTCCACACACGCGGTTATTCGCTGTTGTTCTCAAGCTGGGGTGAGTGATCGCCAGCTGTGACTCGCACTGCCGTGGGTTTGCCCCCGATGCAGAGATCTACGCCTTCCGAGTGTTCACCAACGCGCAGGTGGGTCCACACACGCGGTTATTCGCTGTTGTTCTCAAGCTGGGGTGAGTGATCGCCAGCTGTGACTCGCACTGCCGTGGGTTTGCCCCCGATGCAGAGATCTACGCCTTCCGAGTGTTCACCAACGCGCAGGTGGGTCCACACACGCGGTTATTCGCTGTTGTTCTCAAGCTGGGGTGAGTGATCGCCAGCTGTGATTCGCACTGCCGTGGGTTTGCTCCTGACGCTGAGATCTACGCCTTCCGCGTGTTCACCAACGCGCAGGTGAGTCCACGCACAGGTGAGTCCATTCCATGCACGCGGTTATACTCATTGTTGTTCTCAAGCTGGGGGGGGTGATCGCCAGCTGTGACTCGCACTGCCGTGGGTTTGCTCCTGACGCTGAGATCTACGCCTTCCGCGTGTTCACCAACGCGCAGGTCAGTTGGTGTGTTTTTGAGTTGAGGTCTGTTACACGTCCTGGTTCATGTAACAGAATGAACCTTCTGTCTTTTTGAGTTGAGGTCTGGTACACGTCCGTGAGCATGGTATAGCGTGGCAGATTGAACCTTTTGGTTCCTTGACCCTTCTGCCAGAAGGTTCATTTTGCCACGCTATACCATGCTCACGGGCATGAGGTTGCTGAATTTGACCACCAGGCCAAGGCCAATCGTCACTTGCTCCTTCTTTCCCCCTCTTCAACCTCCACCCCCGCTGCCCCTATCTTCCTGCTGTCCCTGACAGGTCTCCTACTCGTCCTGGTTCACTCCTCAACACCTCTCGCCACACTATACCATGCTCACGGAAGTGATATTGCTGACTGAATCTGAGCACCAGGCCAAGGCCCAGGCGTCCTCTCCTCATCACCTCCTCTCTTTTTCCCCCTCTTCAACCCCCTCTGCCACCCCCCCTGACAGGTCTCCTACACGTCCTGGTTCCTGGATGCATTCAACTACGCCATTCTCACCAGGATGAACGTGCTCAACCTCAGCATAGGGGGGCCTGACTACCTCGACCGACCCTTTGTGGAGAAGGTGGGTAGGTGAGGAAAGGGAGCATTGGGGGACCCGACCACCTGGACCGGCCGTTTGTGGAGGTGTGGGGAGGTGTGGGGAGTCACAGGCAACGGCATTCTGATGGTATCAGCCATTGGAAGCGTCGCCCCCCTGTACGGGACACTCAACAACCCCGCAGACCAGAATGATATGATCGGGGTGGGCAGCATCGACTACACTCTGCACATTGCTTCTTCTCTCCCCCATCCCCTGCCCTTTCCCCCCCTGCCAACTGTTATTTTCCTCCCCTTGCAGGTGTGGGAGGTGACAGGTAACGGCATACTCATGGTATCGGCCATTGGAAACGATGGGCCCCTCTACGGGACACTTAACAACCCCGCGGACCAGAACGATGTCATCGGGGTGGGCGGCATCGATTATACCCTGCATATCGCTTCGTTCTCATCCCGTGGCATGACCACGTGGGAGCTGCCTCATGGGTGGGTAGTGGAGATGGAGGGAGAGACGAGTTTGGTTTGGGTGTGTGTGTAGTGGGGATGAGGGAGAGAGAACATCGTGATTGGGGTGGGCGGCATTGACTACACTCTGCACATCGCATCGTTCTCCTCCCGTGGCATGACCACGTGGGAGCTGCCTCATGGGTATATGTGGGCCAAGTGAGGCAGGGAGGAGGAAAAGAAGGGGGAAGTTGAGGTTGGGCACGTGGGAGGTTGGGGTGGGGGTTGTGAGGGAGCCACTCGTCCTTACCACTTGCTCACCGCTCTAAACTCCTATATCTCGCTAGCCCAAAATCTCCCCATTCTCTGCCGCCCACCCATTCCACCCCTCTCAGGTACGGCCGAATGAAGCCGGACATAGTGGCCTACGGGCGGGAGGTGGTCGGCTCGAAGATCAACGGCGGGTGCAAGAGCCTCTCAGGGACGTCCGTCGCAAGCCCAGTGGTGGCAGGCGCGGTTTGTCTTCTAGCGAGCGTGGTGCCAGAAGCTGTGCGGTGGGGCCCGGGAGGGGTGCTGAACCCAGCGAGTATGAAGCAGGCGCTGGTTGAAGGAGCTGATCGGCTGAACGGACCCCATATGTTCGAGCAGGGATCCGGACAGTTGAATCTGTGAGTTTCAAACACGCAGTAACTCAATATTGTCTTCTAGCGAGCGTGGTGCCGGAAGCTGTGCGGTGGGGCCCGGGAGGGGTGCTGAACCCAGCGAGTATGAAGCAGGCGTTGGTGGAAGGAGCCGACAGGCTGACCGGACCGCACATGTTTGAGCAGGGCTCTGGGCAGTTGAATCTGTGAGTGTCAAACACTAAGTAACTTAGTCCTGTGTGTGCTTTAAAAACGTCAGTCAGTCTTGTGTGCTGAACCCAGCGAGTATGAAGCAGGCGCTGGTGGAAGGGGCTGACAGGCTGAACGGGCCACATATGTTCGAACAGGGTTCTGGGCAGTTGCATCTGTGAGTGTGAACCAGTGCAGTGTGCAGGGTCTTGCCTTGTGTGCGGACTACAGTGTGCTTCAGTGTTGTTCCGTAGCCAGTCTATGAAGCAGTGAGTATGAAGCAGGCGTTGGTGGAAGGAGCTGACAGGTTGACCGGGCCTCATATGTTCGAGCAGGGCTCTGGGCAATTGAATCTGTGAGTGTGAACCAGTGCAGTGTGCAGGGTCTTGTCTTGTGTGCAGCGTGCTTCAGAGACGTCTCAAAGCCTGTCAGTGCCGGGTGCTGAACCCAGCGAGTATGGAGCAGGCGTTGGTGGAAGGAGCTGGACAGGCTGAATGGGCCACATATTTTTGAACAGGGGTCTGGGCAATTGAACCTGTGAGTGTGAACCAGTTAGTTGGTCTTTGTGCGCTACGGAAACATCAGCCAGTCTTGGGTGCTGAACCCAGCGAGTATGAAGCAGGCGCTGGTGGAAGGAGCTGATCGGCTGAACAAGCCTCATATGTTCGAACAGGGGTCTGGGTAACTCAACCTGTGAGTTTGGAACAGTGCGATGTGCAGGGTATTGTCTTGTGTGCAGACTACAGTGTGCTTCCCCTCCTCCTCTCCCTTCTCCCCCCCAGCCTGCGATCCCACGGCATTCTTGCGAGCTACACGCCTCGGGCATCCGTCCACCCCTTTGCTCTCGACCTGACAGACTGCCCCTACGCGTGGCCGTGGTGCCGCCAGCCGCTCTTCGCCTCATCCCAAACCCTGTGCTGCGCTGTCCTGTCCCCCACCCCGCCCATCCCCTCTCCTCCAGCCTGCGGTCCCACGCTATCCTGGCAAGCTACACCCCTCGAGCCTCCGTCCACCCATCCGCCCTCGACCTCACGGACTGCCCCTACTCCTGGCCGTGGTGCCGCCAGCCGCTCTTCGCCTCCGCGCTGCTTCAGCCCTTATCTACTCTGTTCTTCCCCATTCCCCTCCCCCCTTCCCCCCCTTTCAGTCTGCGCTCCCACGCCATTCTCGCCAGTTACACCCCGCGAGCCTCGGTCCACCCAGCTTCTCTCGACCTCACGGACTGCCCCTACTCCTGGCCGTGGTGCCGCCAGCGGCTCTTCGCCTCTGCCCTGCCGCTCATCATCAACGCCACCATCCTCAACGGCATGGGCGTCACTGGCTGGCTCGCTGCTCCGCCTGTGTGGGTGCCCACAGAGGTCAACCTCACCAGCACGGCAGCAGAGGGCAATCTTTCCACCACAGCTGCAGCTGGCAGCACTGTGAATGCTTCGACTTCATATCCCTCCTCTGCAGCCTCCTCTCCACCCCTTGATCGGATGCTGCATGTGCGCTTCTCCTACCCCGCGGTGCTGTGGCCGTGGTCCGGAAATCTGGGGATCTACCTGAGGGTGCACCCCGCTGCAAGGCACCTCAACGGTGAGCGGGGGGTAACGAGTCATTCTGTTCCCTTAGCTGCCTCAGGGTCCTGAGCTGCTTGAATAATCAGCATGGGAATATACCTGAGGGTGCATCCCGCTGCAAGGCACCTCAATAGTGAGTGTTCTTTCCCCTACCCATCCCCATATGTTGAGTCAATTTTTGAGGCGCCTAAAAGAAAGAGAGTTCCTTCCGCTCCCCATCCCCTCCCCCACCCCCGCAACGCAGGCACCATAGCGGGCGCCATTCACGTCACGGTCGTCTCTCCTCCCGCCCCCAACAAAGCCACCCATCGCACCACCAACTGCTCGCTGCCTCTCCTTGTTGCCCCTCCGCTTCCCGCACCTCTTCCCCTTCAAAATGCTTCCCCTTCAAAATGCTTCCCCTTCAAAATGCTTCCCCTTCACCACTCTCTCCCCACCTCCCACCCCCCCAATGCAGGCACCATAACAGGCACCATAACAGGCACCATTCACTTCGCAGTCGTATCCCCTCCCGGCCCCAACGAAGCCACCCATCGCACCACCAACTGCCCGCTGCCCCTCCGCGTTGCCCTTCCGTTTCCCCCACCTCTTCCCCTTCAATATGTTTCCCCTTTCCTCCCCTCCTTCCTCCCCACCCCCAACACAGGCACCATAGCGGGCGCCATTCACTTCACGGTCGTCTCTCCCCCCGGTCCCAACGAAGCCACCCATCGCACCACCAACTGCTCGCTGCCCCTCCGCGTTGCCCCTCCTCCTCCCCCACCTCGTCCCTTTCCCCACCCTTCCCCCCACCCCTCCTCCACCCCAACACAGGCACCATATCAGGCACCATTCACTTCACGGTCGTCTCTCCCCCCGGTCCCAACGAAGCCACCCATCGCACCACCAACTGCTCGCTGCCCCTCCGCGTTGCCCCTCCTCCTCCCCCACCTCGTCCCTTTCCCCACCCTTCCCCCCACCCCTCCTCCACCCCAACACAGGCACCATATCAGGCACCATTCACTTCACGGTTGTCTCTCCCCCCGGTCCCAACGAGGCCACCCATCGCACCACCAACTGCTCGCTGCCCCTCCGCGTTGCCCCTCCTCCTCCCCCACCTCGTCCCTTTCCCCACCCTTCCCCCCACCCCTCCTCCACCCCAACACAGGCACCATATCAGGCACCATTCACTTCACGGTTGTCTCTCCCCCCGGTCCCAACGAGGCCACCCATCGCACCACCAACTGCTCGCTGCCCCTCCGCGTTGCCCCTCCTCCTCCCCCACCTCGTCCCTTTCCCCACCCTTCCCCCCACCCCTCCTCCACCCCAACACAGGCACCATATCAGGCACCATTCACTTCACGGTTGTCTCTCCCCCCGGTCCCAACGAGGCCACCCATCGCACCACCAACTGCTCGCTGCCCCTCCGCGTTGCCATCATGCCGACGCCTCCCCGCCACCGTCGCGTACTTTGGGATCAGTTCCACAACGTGCGGTACCCCCCTGGGTACATCCCCAGGTGCGCACTCTGAGGTGTTTGCTTGGTGTGCATGTGCTTGCACCTGTATCTGTGCATGTGAGTGAATGTGAATGTGTTGCCATCATGCCCACTCCTCCCCGCCACCGTCGCGTACTTTGGGATCAGTTCCACAACGTGCGGTACCCCCCTGGGTACATCCCCAGGTGCGTGCTCTGAGGTGTTTGCTTGGTGTGCATGTGCTTGCACCTGTATCTGTGCATGTGAGTGAATGTGAATGTGTTGCCATCATGCCCACTCCTCCCCGCCACCGTCGCGTACTTTGGGATCAGTTCCACAACGTGCGGTACCCCCCTGGGTACATCCCCAGGTGCGTGCTCTGAGGTGTTTGCTTGGTGTGCATGTGCTTGCACCTGTATCTGTGCATGTGAGTGAATGTGAATGTGTTGCCATCATGCCCACTCCTCCCCGCCACCGCCGTGTGCCGTGGGATCAGTTCCACAACGTGCGGTACCCCCCTGGGTACATTCCCAGGTGCGCGCTGGCTGACTGTCAAGGCAATCTACAGGGTTGCATACTCTCACTGTCCCTCTCTACCTCTCTCTACCTCTCTCTACCGCTCCCTGCCTCTCCGCGTTGCCATCATGCCCACACCGCCCCGCCACCGCCGTGTGCTGTGGGACCAGTTCCACAACGTGCGATACCCCCCTGGGTACATCCCCAGGTGCGTGCTCTGAGGTGTTTGCTTGGTGTGTATGCGCATCTGTATCTGTGCATATGCATGTGAGTGTGAATGTGCCCCCATCATGCCCACGCCTCCCCGCCACCGCCGTGTGCTGTGGGACCAGTTCCACAACGTGCGGTACCCCCCGGGGTACATCCCCAGGACTCTTGCCTCCCCTTTCCCTACAGGGATGCTGGGGTCGCCCCTCCGCCCATCTACTCCCAAGGGGACGTGCTTATTCAACCCTTGCATCCCCTCTCCCCCCAGGGACTCTCTGGATGTGAGAAACGACATCCTGGATTGGCACGGCGACCACCCCCACACCAACTTCCACGGGCTGTTCGCCGCTCTGAGGGAGTGGGGCTTCACGCTCGAGGTGCTGGGGTGGCCCCTGACGTGCTTCGATGCGCGGGAGTATGGCGCGCTGCTGATGGTGGATATGGAGGAGGAGTTCCATACAGAGGAGGTGAGAGGAAAGGCTTACAGACATAGGTTGCACCTCCCATAGGTCGTCCCTCCTCTCACCGATGCGGGGGACTCCTTCGCCGGGAGTATGACGCACTGCTGATGGTGGACATGGAGGAGGAGTACCATAAAGAGGAGGTGAGAGGAAGGAAGGGTGGCCAGACTTCAGACGAAGATAGAATAGAACTGAGGCAGGCGTGAGGCAGGCGTAGGTTGAGGTGCTGTTGGGGTGGCCCCTGACGTGCTTCGATGCACGGGAGTATGACGCACTGCTGATGGTGGATATGGAGGAGGAGTTCCATACAGAGGAGGTGAGATGTGGGACTGTGAGTAGGTGATGTTTCAGTGCTGGGCCTGATATTGGTGGGGGACTGGTACCACGTGCCCACCATGAAGCACATGCGGCTCACCCCTCCTGCACTCCCCTGCCCTTCCCCCTTTCCTCTTGCACACCCCCCCACCCCCCCCGTTCCCCCTGTGCGTTTCAGATAGCCAAGTTGCACCATGACGTGACAGCACTCGGGCTGGGCCTCATCGTGGTGGGGGACTGGTACCACGTGCCCACCATGAAGCACATGCGCTTCTCTCCTGTAATACCCTTCCGCACCCCTTACACTCCTCCTCCCTGCATTCCCCCTGCACTCTCATGCCCCTCAGGTAGCCAAGCTGCATAATGACGTCACAAAGCTGGGCCTGGGTCTCATAGTGGTGGGGGACTGGTACCACGTGCCCACCATGAAGCACATGCGCTTCTTTGATGACAACACGCGCTCCTGGTGGACGCCTGCCACTGGTGAGAACAGGCTTCCAATGCCCCGCACAATAGAGAGAGCCCGCCTCATCTCCCTGTTGAGGACTCTTGCCATGAGTGGGTGCATCCCTCACCCCATTCCCCACCCTCCATGAAGCACATGCGCGTCTTTGACAACAACACGCGCTCCTGGTGGACGCCTGCCACTGGTGAGCGCAGGCGTCTTGTAGACAGTGGCAGCACTGCTTGCTCGCCATCAGTAGTGAGTAACCCCTACACGCACTATCAAAACATCTCATCCCCACCCACCATGAAGCATGCATGCATGCACTATCAGCCCATCTCATCCCCACCCACCATGAAGCATGCATGCATGCACTATCAGCCCATCTCATCCCCACCCACCATGAAGCAAGCATGCATGCACTATCAGCCCATCTCATCCCCACCCACCATGAAGCATGCATGCATGCACTATCAGCCTATCCTATCCCGGATAGGATAGGCTGCCATGTTCTCTCTCCTTTCTGCATCGCGTTCGGCGACGCCATTCTTACAGGCGCCTTTTCAATCGCCGCCCAGCGAGCCTACTTTGCCTCTAGCACCGGCATTCGCAGGTTCCCCAGAGGGAGGTTGCTGCACCGGATTTGCACCTTCTCTCCACTTTCTTGCAGCAACCTTCACTGTAACCTTCTCGCACTCTCACCACCTGCTCCTCCCATCCTCCTCTCCTCCCATCCTCCTCTCCTCCCATTGCTTCAGGTGGGGCCAACATACCAGCTCTCAACGACCTTCTCTCTTCTTTCGGCATCGACTTCGGCAATTCCATTCTCTTCGGCAGCTTTTCTATCATTTGGGTGTAAAGGGTTGTGTTCAAGAACCTTGTCTTCCCTCCTCTCCTCCCATTGCTTCAGGTGGCGCCAACGTACCAGCTCTCAATGACCTTCTCTCTCCCTTTGGAATCGCATTCGGCGATGCCATTCTTTCCGGCACCTTTTCAATCGCCGGTCAGCGAGCCTACTTTGCTTCGGGCACCAATATTCGCAGGTTCCCCAAGGGGGGGTACGTGCACAGGTTCCTGTTCAGGGATGGGTCGTCGGGAGTGGCTGGTGGGGGTGGAGAAGGGGGGGAAGAGGGCGGCGGAGGAGGGGGGGGAGGAGGGGGAGAGGGGGAAGAGGTTGGAACGTCAGTAGGGGGAAGTGGTGGGTCGATTGTTTCAACAAGAGGAGGAAGGATGAAGAGTCAAGTCGAGGCGTCGGTGTTGGGATTGGTGGAGAGGGGGCAGGGGAGGGTAGCGGTTTTTGGCGATTCTAATTGCTTAGACAGCAGTCATTTGGTGAGTGACTGCTTCTGGCTGCTAAATAAGATGCTTAGTTTTGCTACTGAGGGGAAAAAAGACCCGACGTTGTTCCACCATAGGAATGAGCTGCTGACAGCAATGGGGGGCGGCGGTGGGGAGGAGGGGCAGAGAAATCGGTCAGAAAAAAGCCGGGGTTTCACAGGGGCGGATTCGAAGCTGGGTGGTTCGGAAGTTTTTGTGCTGCCCGAGAGGCGGACGGATGTGAATTTCACCGACCTGTCATTGGTTCTCAGCAAGCCGTTGGTGTGCGGGCAGGATTCAAAAGTCTTACGGGTTGCAAGTAAGCGGAGGAAGCAAGTTGGAGGGGGAAGAGATGCGTTGAGGGGGGAGGGAAGGAGAAGGGTACGAGGGGGGGTGGTGGGAGGACGGAGAGGAGGAGGAGGCAGGATTATAGAAGAGAGCGTGGGGGTTGGGGTTGGGACTGAGAGTGGGGAGGTGGGTGGGGGTGATACTGCCAGGGATAGTGAGGGCGAGGGCGAGGGTGAGGGTGAGGGTGGTCCTACCAAGAATGGGGGTGTGGCTGTTGATTCGGGGAATGTTGCTTATGTGAGGGAGGAGGAGGAGGGGGAAGAGGAGAGAAGTCGTGGTGGATTTTCCAAAGAGGAAGACGCACAGCATGGAGGGAGTGTGAAGGTGGGGGAAGAGGGGATGGGGAAAGTGGAGGGACGTGAGGAAGGAGGGATGGAAGAGGAGGAAAGTGAGCGGGGGCTTGGGGGGGATGGGAAAGGGGAAGGGAGGGCGAGAGAAGAGCAGGGGTCTACAGAAGCAGCAGAACTTCAAATGAGGGAGCAAGAGAAGCTGCAGGAGCAGCAGGGGCAGCAGGAGCAGCAGGAGCAGCAGACTGCAACAACAGCAGGGGCAGCACCAGCAGCAGCAGGAGGAGGAAGGGAATGGTCAGGGTGTGGATGGGAGCATGCAGCAGCAAGACATGGGGAGAGGAGACTCAGTAACAGGGAGCATCGTGGAAGCGGGATCAAATGGTGCTCCTACTGCTGGTGATGCTGTTACTGTTACTGCTGCTGCTGCTGGTGTGGGATCAATTGATTCTGCTGCTGGCACTGCTGTTACTGCTGCTTCTTCTACTGTGAGGGTAGACGATGGCATAACGGGAGGAGGAGTGGGGGGTAGTGGTGGCAGCGATGGTGGTGCGGCTGTGAGTGCAGATGACCTGTTGCTAGGAGGCGGTGTTGCAGGGGAGGAGCTGGGAGGCAATTCGGCTGCGAAGAGCATTTGGAGGCACTGGCATGAGCGGGAGGAGGAGGTGAGATCTGGGGGGAGATGGGGGCCACGTAGGGGTAGATGTGGAAAAAGTAGGGGGTAAATTGGGAGGGGAGAAGGGGAGGGCAGTCGGCTGGGAAGAGCATTTGGAGGCACTGGCATGAGCGGGAGGAGGAGGTGAGAGCTGTGTGGGGATGGGGGGCAGGTGGGGTTAAATGTGGGGAGAATAGGGGGAGGGCGATCTACTGGGAAGAGCATTTGGAGGCACTGGCACGAGCGGGAGGAGGAGGTGAGAGATGTGTGGGTAGATGGAGGGAGATGGGTGTTAGATAGGGAGATGTGGGGAAATTAGGGGAAGAAAGAGGGGGAGGGCGGTCTGCTGGGAAGAGCATTTGGAGGCACTGGAACGAGCGCGAGGAGGAGGTGAGAGCTGTCTGGGGATGGGGGGCAGGTGGGGTTAAATGTGGGGAAAATAGGGGGAGAGAGAGGGGGATGTCGGATGGAAAGAGTGTTTGGAGGCACTGGCATGAGCGAGAGGAGGAGGTGAGATCTGGGGGGAGATGGGGGGAGATGGGGGGGGATGGGGGGAGATGGGGGGGTAGGTGGAGGGATAGATTGTGGGGGAGGGAATGGGTAGGGAGGTTGTGAAGGTTGGGGGTTGGAGGCGAGGGGGAGAGGGTGGGGTATGGGGGGGATGACATTGGGGGGAATTGGGGGGAATTGGGGGGAATATTTGGACCAGAAGAGGGTGAACTAAGATCGGAGTGGGTGGAAGGATGGAGGTAAATATGTGAAATGCACTCACATGTGAACGTGCATCAACTCTTTCACATGTGCACTTGCATCGATGTGCACTTGCATCAATCAAACGATATTTGCATCAGTTCAGAACCATTTTCTTCTGGAACCACTCGACTCCTCAGTCCACATTCTCGTTTACGTGGCCTTAATTTTTGCTGCCGCCGCCACCACACGCACTCCCTCTCCTTCCCCTTCCACTCCCTCCCACTCCCTGCCACTGCCTCCCACCCCCTCCCACTTCCTCCCACCCCCTCCCACTTCCTCCCACTCCCTCCCACTCCCTCCCACTCCCTCCCTCCATCCCGGATAAAACCCAACTGGCTCAACTCGTGCCGTGCGCGAAATTGTTCGCTTCCTTACTCCACTCCCTCAACCTTTGATGCGCCTCCGGGATCACCTCGACTTACCCAGCTCGATACATTTTTCCCAGTCATCGCTGCTGCCTCAGGTAATCCCCCATTCCCTTTTCCCATCCTCCAAATTCACCTCGACTTACCCAGCTCTATGTTCCCGGATGACTATCATCTTTCAACTGCCCAGCTCACTGAATCCGTTCTGCCAATCCCAAAACTTCAATCCACACTCTCATCTAAAATCAGACCCATATTCGACACCATTTCATACACTCTATACCCAAACCCTGTATCAACCTGTATCATCCTGTTTCCAGTTAATGACTAGCAACGCCATACCATGAATCATACTCAGAGGTGTACCCAAATCTTCAGCCCATACTTCCAACCCTATGTTTCCACATTTCGCACGCTAACCCTTGCGATGTGTACACCCAAAATTTCTTCCATCCGCATATGGCTCCACCATGGGTTGCACCTTATTCTCATTGGGCTGAACGTTTTCAGCAACTGGTTGTCTCATGCATATAAACCAATTGCTAATCGCGTTTTTCTTTGTAACACCTGAGATGGCATTACTGTTTTCATAGGCCCACACGTTTCTGCGTTACTAGCATGCTGCAGTATCGCTCCAATGCCATTTGGGCTAATAGCATGCTGTGCTTCCTTTGGTTGCCTTCGCTTTGCAGGATTCATATTTCTGTGCGGGCTGTGGAGATTTCGACAAAGAAGAAACAGAAAGCCAAGGGCAAGAAGGCTATAATGCTAGAATGATAAATAGATTACAGTGCAAGATATTTGTGTAGATTCGACAATGTGTGGAGTAGATCGTCAAGTAAAGCACATAAGCTGGCAGTTTCTGAATGGAAGGGGGGAGGGGGGAAAGGGGAGGAGGGGAGGGGAAGGGAGGGGGGGAGGGGGTGTACAACGTATGCGTCACACAAAAGTATGGAAAAAAAGATCGAGTAATCCGATTCATCACTTTGCGTGGTAGTATGAAGAGGCTGCAGCGTTTTTCTGATGTCTGCATGTGATGTGATATGTTACATTTCATGACAAAAATAGGTGAAGTCTCAACAAACTGATAATTGTTCACAAATACAACCACTGCATCCATTTGTAGGTTTTTTAGACCCCACTTATCTAGAGGTTCCGGCGACGGCACCCTCATTGCAGGGTAACATCAAACATTTCCTTGCCCGAAAGGGCAACCGTGGGTGTCTTGATAATTGGACTGGACTGGACGAAGGAATACAATTGCAGTCAGAATGCATGCATACACCCAGGCGGTGTCATTTCCATTTCCGATTCGCAGGTGAAAAAACAATTCAAATCTGATTGCTGCGCGTGGCGTTACAGTACAGTACAATAAAGAAGTCGGCGAACAAACCTGCACAGTTCAGCAATTTGGCTCCTCAACAGCAGGGATGCTTCATTTGAATTGGGGGTTACGTCCAATGCGCCTTCGGCTCTGCAACTGAGGGGAGAAGATCAAACTGGGGCCGAACATTAGCAGGAAAGTGACAAAATTTAGTTTCGGGTTAATCCCAACCGTTGGATGTACTTCCGAGGCTGCCCAAGTGGTAGGGCCAAGACTTCGAACCTAGATTTACAGGAAAAAACAAGCATTTCGACTTTATTGGATCAATTTGTTTTTGTAGGTTATGATCGCCACCTATTACGAAACGCGCGTCGCATTTCTCTGGGAGTAGGTTTCATCGTGGTTTTCAAAAAATTTACGTCACCTTAGCTGACCACAAAAAATAGAACCAAATCCGAAACGGATGCGACTCGGGGAGGCATCAACCCTAAACTCTACTTGGGTTCCCGTGTTTAGGGTTGATCCCTCCCGAAAATGCGTCCAGATTCTCTAGGGGATTAGTTTTTCAACCCTGCCCTAACAGTTTCTGGTAGCGTCGTCTTGTGCTTCGTAGTGCTGACGAGTGGAAAACACCGATTTATCTCGACATAACGACATAAATTCTCAAATTCCTCAGTTACCCTGCACGGGGTGGTCACAAGTGAAATTGAATCGCGATAATGGACAAGTCGGATTTTAGCTCCAAAAGCCCAGGTTCGGTTTCTCCGGCCCTAATTTGGACATCCTCGTGCTATTTTTCGGCCCCTGTTTGATCTTTGCCCGCAACTGAGACACGTGTTACACGTAAACTTTCTGACGTGTCGTTCGCTCCGCCTCTTAGCCTGATGTCAACGCTTTGAGTGGATGCCAATCGAGACCGTATGGATGCTATGGTATGCTAACCCAATGGTCGCTGTTCAGCTGTCCTTCATTTCAAAGTCACATCTAGTGTAGATTAGACAGTACACTACCAATGTACAGTGTACAGTATTTCGTTTCTTCATAAATGGGTTTAGTATTCCCCACAGTGTTCTTCCGAACTTAGCGGTGGGAAGTGATCCGTGAGGCATAGCAACCGCATCCCCTCCTCCCATATCCTTCCCAAATCCCCTAGATCTCCCCATTTTCCCAGAAGGTGGTCCTCCCAGTCAGGACTCCACTACCCCTGTCAACACCTGTCATCCGCGTTGGGCTCTGTTCACCAAAAAACTTGCTCTCTGTTCAGGGCACACGAATATTATCCCTGTATTCCCGGATGTTATCAAAGAACGACCACCCTCAGAAGGAAGCTGCTGGGGAAACCCGGGCAGCTTATGGGTTCATATCAGAAAAGACCCTTGCAGTACTGAAAGCAGGAAGCTGCAAGCTTTCGAAGTTTCCACCGCATGGACTGTACGGCTGGATACAGTTCACATCAGAACAAATCAATTGATGTGTGTGACACAAATCAATTTTTCTCCATTTTTTTCGTTCTTGTCGCGTTGTCTGACCGACGACCAGCCACACTCGGCAGTTCGTCTTCCATTTGCAGCCCCCTTGCGCAATCTCGCCTCGCCTCCACCAAGACCGCTCCGCGTCCATGGGTGCCTGCGGATGGACCAACAACCAGCAGCCTCCTCGGCTTGAGGCCGAGCCGAATGGCCCCCCTTTCAATCTAACCAACCCGCCACGTCACCCCGCGCGCGCTCATCTCGCCTTCGTCCAGCGGCAACACACCAAACCGCACCACCATCTGCAGCCAAATGATGGGCCTGATTTCGAAGCAGATCTTGTTCAACTATAAGGGCAAGCTAGGTGAGCTTTTATTTCACGCATCTTTTACTTCTTTGAAGCATTACCTCCATTTGTCAGATATCCCAGTAGTGCTTAGTACGTAGTGTCCAGATGGTTAACCCTCAACCTTTGCGAGTTATCCGTAGCGCATCGACGCCCAGCTCGTCGAGTTCGCCCTCCGATGGGCCGTCGTCTTCGTTCTTTGACCGGAGCGTTTCCATTGGTAGCGGCGAGTTCGCGTTTTCACAAAGCCCAGCAGGGCAGCTCGAGGATCCCGGCACGCCAAGGCTCTTTCCCCGTGACTTATCGGACCCTGCCGCGGAACCGAACCGCACTTTAGAGACCTACGATGGTGACAATTTTCGGCATGAGTTCGCGAATTTTAACGACGCGACGTCGGGGGTCGTTCGACGCGCTTCGGAAGATCCTGCAGTTGCTAATCGTGCTAGCAACGGGGTGGAAGGTGCTGAACTGACTCATACGGCCCCGCTGGCGCTGCGAAAGCCAGCGGAGTGGGCGGAATGGCACTGCTGGCGGCATGGCCGGCAAACCAACGATATCCCGAAGCCTTCTGTCGAAGGTAAGACCTTCGAGTCGTCATACAACGTCAAAATGGCGCTGACCGTCAGAATCTGTTATGTTTATGTCATGTTCGTGCTCTAAGTGTTGAGTTTCCATGTTGCGCAGAAATTCGCGAGGCTCTGAGCGCAACGCACATCGAGGAATCGCGCAAATGCATCCAGAAATCGGCTGCGGATGCGTGGGCGGCGCAGGAGGAGTTTAAGCGCGGCGTCGAAAGGGCCATGGCCAGACATGAAGCGGCTGCGAACTTTATGGGGGGCACTTTTCTGAGCGGGAGTAATAGCATGATTGGACGTTTGTTGGAGCACATGAAGGGAAAGAGTCATAAGGGTATTAAAGCTCGATAGGCTTGGTAGTATCATTACCTTGAATTTTTTATATGTATATAATGCAATATGCATTTAGCATGTTTTGGTGCAAATTGCTTGGTGAAATGTTTTTGTTGTGCGTAGTTATTAGCATCAAGCGAGGAATTCTTAAGGAGATTTCCATGTTTTGTGCGGTGGCTGGTTCTCCGAATCGTTTGAGAACATTGGTTTTGATTATGCGCACCGCCGTGTGCACGGCAGGTTTGCTACTGCGAGAACCCTAAGGGCGCGTGTCCTTGAGGTCGAACTTTTGCAGAAGTTCGAACTTCTAGAAAGGTTGTAGACGGTAGGATACATTTGAGAGACGTGTCGCCACGGTACAAATCGGTACTAGGCTCGAACTTCGCCAATTTACACCGAAAGACACACGCCTGGCCGGAATGACTCAAATAATGATTCTTGGTTGAGCTGGGAAATTTTAGATGGGCAGGGCAATAACATGCTCAACCCCGTAAATCCTCAGCACATCGCGAGCCGTGTCGACAAGGGTAGATCTCACGTCGTACAGTACAATGATGTGGGTAAAATACACCCGGGAAAAAGGTTTCGGGCTGTGAACCGCCCTTCCACTTCAGATACAGCGCGCACACTATTTCGCCGTGCTGTCACTTGAAATTCCTTATCACTCCTTGGGGCAGCTAGCGTGCCTGGTGCCTTGCTGGCACCGAAGCCATGTGTGTATCTGGGTGTAGACGCAAGACGAAAACTGGCTGTTGTTCTCCTGGACGAGCGTGTCTAGCCTGGACCAACGCTCTGGCTGAGTAACCAAACAGCGGAAAATCCTGCTCTAGCGCATAGAGACTGACGTCGCCCTAATAACATTTTAAAATATTACAATGTAGCATAATTACGCAAGGAAAAGGAGTGGAAACGGGAAGAGAGGAGAAAAGGAGGAATAACGTGAGTAGAAAAAAGGAGAGAGGAAGAAAGAAGGAGGGGAATAGGGGAAAAATGATAGGAGGAAGAAAAACAGGGAAGAAGGAAGAAAAAGCAGCACACACAACCCCAAGAAAACCCCAATAGCACACACATTTAAAACACCATCAAGCCCTCCCATCAAAGCACCCCAACTGCACTCCCATCGAACCAAACCTCCCCCCCTAAACCCACTCCCTAAACCCGCATGTCTACCAAGTATGGTGCATCCGCCCACGGAGCATCCCATCCCATCTCCTCCTCAACATCCTCCCGCTCCACCCAAACAGCCTCTGGGCCTCTCATCATCGACGCCGCGCGTAACAAGATCACACGCGCCTGAGCCCGTTGCAAAGCCACACCCACAGCCGCTTTGAGCGATCCGAGCAAATAAGCCGAGAAACCCTTTCCCGTAGCTCGCGCCGCCCCTTTCGTCTTTGCTATCTCGATCTGCGCGTCACCCTGCTTCTTAAGCCACCGTCCAAAACTCCCCCCCAAGCATCCCCATGTCTCAGCAATGAGTGGTGTGAACTGCACTCCCCCATGCCGCTGTAGAAGCGATTTGTAGTCCGCCGTCTTCCGCTTTTCTCTCTCTCTCGCGGCAAAACCCACCTTGCGACCAATCTGTCCATGGTGCTGCGCGGATAGCGAGATAGGATCTACCACACTAACCTCCAGCGCGTGCTCCTCCCCCTCCCTCAGTTTCCGAACCGCCACATCAACCCTCTTCCCTGGGAGCAACGTGTCGTCTTCCATGGTCACAATCCCACCCGCACCCTTAGCTATCTTCGCCACCACAAATTTAACCGCATCGTGAACCCGAGAAGGTGCATACTGATACTTGCAGCGAAGGGCATGATGCGGGTCAGAGGGATCAGCAAACTCAAACCCACACGCGCACTTGCCGGCCACTATCAGCTGCTGAATAGGGAGGCCTAGGCGCATGGACGCGCAGATGCTCCACTCGGCTGCGGTGAAGGTAGCCTCCTCGTGCGAAGGAACGGCAGAAACCCACGCCCCAGCCCCCGGGCCCTGAAGGGATGTCAAACGGGCCAGGGTGGCATCGTTGTGGGCCATGCCTCGAAGAGATTGGAGGCTCTCAACCGCCAGGCGACGGTGTTGTGTGGGGAAGAGCAGCATAGGCGGATCAGCGGTGCACAAGGCAAGGGGTGGCATCTCCTGCCGAACCGACTGTGGAAGCAGATCCACTGCTCTCGCAAACCAATGGTCCAACAAGGTCGTAGCCTCGGGCGTGCGGAAAAACTCCTCAAACATCCGCTCCTCACCTGCCACCCCCAACCGAGCCACATCGCTCACTGCTTGGCACCAGCCACATGCATACGACAGAGGACTAAGGTCAGCCGCAGATCGAATGCCGAACCCCCCGAGTCTGGCAGGAAGGTGCAGCTGTAAACGAGCCATCTGGGACTTCCCCGAATCGTGATCCCAGGTACTATCTGGAAACAGCTCCTCGAAACAATCTTCCAGCTTCGTGTCCCAGTCCCGAAAAGCCTCCACAACCTCAGGTCGTGGAGGCATCGTCCGTGTGAGGTAGATCGGGCGCGCCGACACTGCGATCGCCAACAAATGGGACGCAATCTGTGGGTGGTCAAGCAGAGGAAGCCAGGGGACAGGTGCATGCAGCTCCGTCAGCCGGCGACGCAGGCTAGCCACCTCCCAGTCCTCCTCCCCAATGGGCACCCCTACCACAGTGAGCCCCGTCCATGTCTGCTGCATGCCGGGCGGGACAGTCTCATTTCTCTCCTCCCCATCCTGGTCCCTCCCTCGCTCCCATAGCTTACACTTATGCGGCTGCACCTCCAAACCCAGCCCGTCCAGTCGTTCCCGCAAGGCCTCATAGGCTGCTAGAACCCGTTCCCTAGGCCCCAGGATATACGTATCGTCAGCATAGCTGAGGAAGAGTAAGTCGGCGTACTCCGTTTTGGTTGGTTCCATAACCAGCTGCTGTGTGAACGCGAACAGAAACGGACCCAATGGATCCCCTTGCCTCGAGCCCCGCTCGGAAGCCAAAGCTTCGACAAAAGGGCCCGCTCGGAGATAGAGGTCGCTAGGAGTGCCGTAGAAGACACGCAGAAATGGAATCAATCCCTTGAAAGGCGACTGTCGAAGACCCTCAAACATTTCCCGCCGATGGAAGGAGTTGAAAGCGTTCGCCACGTCAATTTGCAGCGCGCACCACGACGGGTGAGTAGAGATGGCGGAGCGAAAGGCATGTGCGAGGACTTCCACTCCCGACCTGGACCCGACTCCAAACTGGTTACACGGAGCAAAGTGCGACATCATCTTCGGGCGAAGCACGATGCATATGGCCCGAGATAGTATGCGGGGGAGCACCTCGCCTATAGCCACCGGGCGAACGTCACCATTCGGCTTCGACAGGCCCACCAAGTTGGACGCAGTGAGCCAGGGTCGCACGCGCTCCGCTACCTCTCCCTTGGTCCACTGGGTGAAGACCTCTAGCAGGTGGGACAGATACGCGGGCTCAGAGAGAAAAGTGTCGCGCAGGTGCTCCGTCACCCACCCCGACGGTCCTGGTGCGGACGCCCTAGCCGCTGAGTGGATCGCCTGGCCGAGTACCTCCACTGAGAGCTGTGGGATAAGGGAAGGCTCGACTGTCTCCTCCTGCACCCACCCAGGAATGGCGGACTCGCACGATGGGTGTTTCGCTCGTAGCGCGTCCACCATGTGCTGAGAGGGCTGAGCGATGCTACCAGCCGTAAGGCACGCCAAACCCCGACTCCATTCTCCCACTTTGCACCTTGTACGGCAGCGGGATAGGCGCACGGCATCAGGATCATGCTCGGGTGGGGTGAAGGACAAGGGGCGAGCCGCAGGTTGCATCGCCGCCACCGCCAACTCAAACAGCTGCTGCCACTCCCCAGCCCAAAACTTCTCCAACCGCTCCCTAATTGCCGCCCTCTGCCCCTGGCCTTGCCCGGTTGGAATCCCCAAGAAAAGACGAGGGAAGGCCAAAAACACCAAGGATGCCGCCTCGTCTGCTGCCTTTGACTTGAGCCGCTTCAGGATACAAGCTTGGCGGAGATTTGACCCCACTTTGTCACAACAGTGTTTAGTTACAGTACGGCTACAGTTCATCGAAAGAGGAATTCGCAGGGCACAGTGTAGTTCTGTCATAAAATTAATGCGCTACAAAGGAAGGTGTAGTTACAATGTTTGACACACAAGGCATTAGCATATAGTTTGCAAAGCTTCTGCTGAGCTATGCTGGAAATGAGAGATCCATGAAACAAAATACCCTTGCAGCATTCTGAATCATCTCCAAGAAGCGCGAGTCCAACTCTACACAAGCACCTGACCCGGCTCCAGACAAAATGCACTGCACATTAAAAACACACAAGATACAACAGTGAATGAGACCTTTTATGCGCCATGTCTCAAAACTTAACCATAGGTATAACAATAATGCTTGCAAGGGATGTATTGTACACAATAGAAATCATGTCAGGCCCGTATCTGTCCGCACGAGTATTTTTTTCTCGGGCAGTCATCAGAAACCTCGACCCAAAGACCCAAGGCCCTGCCTCTCTTACCCAAACCCTTCCCTAAGCCATAATTTCCCTTTCCAACTTTTGAAAGAGAGGCAGAGAGAGAAGGGAAGAAATTTGCAAGAAGAAGAAAGGCTGGGTTCAGTGGGATTGTTGTAGGAGGGTTGTATCGGAGCCAGAAGCAAATTCTCCTGCTGCAGCCCTTCTTTTCCCTCCAAAGAAGTGACTTGAAATATTCTCGGTCAGCTTCAAAATCACCAATAATCACTACAGCTACAACCCTTCATTCCCTTCCGCGTGATAAGTCGAGAGTCAGAAGGCCAGCAACCACAACGTTTGTTATAGCACCGTTCTTTTTCTTCCATGTGTTTCCAGGCTATTAGTATGAAAAGTGTGAGGCTCACTTTTCATCCCGTTACTCTCAAGCTCCCCTCACCCTACCCCTCTCCATCTAACTGTCCCACACTGACTCGCTAAGCACCCACTCGCTAAGCACCCACTCGCTAAGCACCCACTCGCTAAGCACCCACTCACTAAGCACCCACTCACTAAGCACCCACTCACCACAAAATGCATGCACAGGAACTTTTCTTCTAATTTTGTCTTCTCCTGCCTCCTCCTCCTCCTCCTCCTCCTCCTCCTCCTCCTCCTCCTCCTCCTCCTCCTCCTCCTCCTCCTCCTCCTCCTCCTCCTCCTCCTCCTCCTCCTCCTCCTCCTCCTCCTCCTCCCCCCCCCCCCCCCTCGTCATGCTCATCATCACCCTCCCATCTCCCACTAATCTTCCTATTTCTTATCTCCCCCTTGTCTTCTCTCTCGCCTTGCCCGCTCCTTCTCTACCCTGTTACCAACGCCCCAACTTGCTACAAAATTGCTCATTCCTCCTCCCTTTTCACTCCTCCCGCTCATCCTCTCCCTTCACCCCCCCCCCTCCTCTCCTCCCCACAAAGCAAGTCTTCCAACCTCCCCCCTTCACTCCCCCTCCTCCTCTCTTCCCCTCCCCACCTCCTCTCCCCCGACCTTCACCTTCACCGGGTGCCTCCTAGCATGTTCCTGCCACTGCAACCACTCCTCCGCGCCGCTAACAGCGCACAGAACACAAGGAGTGGCTTTCCACCCATAGCACGTCTTACACAACGCCCATCCAACCTTCCCCTTCACTCCCCCTAGCCCAGGCGCTGTAGCATACGCGCCTTTCCCGTCGCACGCACCGCACTGCACCCATCCCGACCCGTCCCCGCACAGCCCACACCACCCGCCGCCGGACCTGGCGCTTTGGTCCGGCGCGCCGACGCCGGCGCCGAAGCTGAAGCTTTGGCTCGGTTCGGAGTCGTCCCCGAGCCTGCTGCTTTGGATCGGGACGGGGTCAGGGTCGGTGAGGAGCCCGCGGGAGGGTTTGGGGGAGCGATCCGCGGGGGAAGCGGAGGCAAACACGGTGCGCCAGGAGCGCTCGGGGGGTTCCTCTTCCGCTCCCGAGCGTTGCGCCTCATCTCCCTCTCCTGCCCGGCGGCCGTTTCCCTGGTTTCCCTCCTCCGCACCCTCTTCGGAGGGATTGCCCTCGGCCTCGCCCTCGCCCTCGCCACTAGACTTAACTCGCCGCCGTTCTTTCCTCTCCTTCCCCTTCTCCTTCTCCTTTGCCTTCTTCTCCCTCTTCCGCTCCTTCCCCTTCTCCTTCTTCTTCTTCTCATTCGTTTTCGCCGTCGTTTTCGAATCAGATGAATCCTTTGCGCTGATAGCCTCAGAACCCTCAACCCTCACTCCCTCAACCCTCACTCCCTCAACCCTCACTCCCTCAACCCTCACTCCCTCAACCCTGGCTCTCTCAACCCTCACTCCCTCAACCCTCAACTCTCTGGCGCCTCTTCCCCGTTTGTCCATCCCGCCGCCGTCTTTCTCCCCGCCAGATTTCCGCCCTGCATCTTTGCTTGCCGCGCCTTCCGCCGCGGCCTCGCTAACAGCCGCTCCGCAAACTGCAGCGGAGCCACGCTCTAGACGCGGATCACGAAACGTGCCCGCGGCAGTTGAAGGTGCCCCTTCCGCCGCGGCCTCGCCAACAACCGCTCCGCAAACTGCAGGGAAACCAAGATTCAGTTGCGGATCGCGAAACGCGCCCGCACTCGGAAGGCGCGCGACGGCGTTTATCCACGGAGACAGGGAGAAAAGAGCCGCAGCAGTCGAAGGTAACTTTCGAGTCGATTCAACAGTCGACTCAACAGTCGACTGAGTCGCAGTCGGAAACCGCGCGACGGCGCGTATCCATGGAGACTGGGGAAAAAGAGCCGTGGCAATTGGAGGTGACTTTATAGTTGACTCAACAGTCGCATTCGGAAACCGCGCGACGGCGCGTATCCATGGAGAATGGGGAAAAAGCGCCGCGGAAGCCGGAGGCGACGGCGAAAGCGCGAGATACGGCGGTGAAAGCGACGCCATTTACGGATTTTGCTGCCAAGAAAGAAACTACCGTGCTGGAAAATGCTGGGGTCGAGGATTTATGGGAGGGGTTTATGAGATTTCGACACGCTTTCCGCGTTAGAAACGAAATCAGTAGTAGCAAAGTTTCCGCGGTTTGGTCATTACCAAAAAATTTAAGGAAAACATTGACACCAGCACAGTAGCCGCATTAGATGTGAAAGCTGAAGAGGCAGCAGGACTGTTCCCAGCAGCAGCGTTTGGCTAGGGTTTTATCAGTGCTACTAGCTATCGTGGCACCCAGCATTTTCATCTTTCCCATAAAAGGCATAATACGGTAGGAGTCGTCACGTCAATGCTGGGTGATTTAGTTGGCGCAGCAGCTGCTGCTGCAGTGGCCCACGCAGTGGTACTAGCTGTCATCCCCTTCAAACGCACCCAACTCCTTCATTTCCTCCATAAACGCAGAATACGAATCGTCAATACTCGGCGGTTTACTCGGCGCAGCAGCAGCTGCAGCGGTGGTTGCAGCAGCAGCGGTGGCAGGGGCAGCCCGAGCAGCAGCAGCAGCAGCCTTTGGTTTCGGCTTCATGAGAGCCTCCTGCCTTCTCACTCGCACCGACGCTGGGACCTGGTGGTGTGCGGAGTGAGGAAGAAGGGGAAGGGAGTAGTGAGGGATAGACGAGGAGGGGCGAGGGGAAGCAGCAGCAGCAGCCTTTGGTTTCGGCTTATTCTGTGCCTCCTGCCTTCTCACTCGCACAGATGCTGGGACCTGGTGGTGTGGAGTGGAATGGTGGAGGGAAGTGAGAGATAGGCGAGGAAAGTGAGGAGAATCAGCAGCAGCAGTGGCAGGGGCAGCCCGGGCAGCAGCAGCAGCAGCCTTTGGTTTCGGCTTATTCTGTGCCTCCTGCCTTCTCACTCGCACGGAGGCTGGGACCTGGTGGTGTGGGGTGGTGGTGGGGAGTGGTGATAGGGTGAGGTAATGGAGGGGAGGAGGGAGTGAGGGGCCGATAAGAAAGGCGAATCTAACCATCGGAGCTGCCACCTTCACATACGCTGGAGTAGCTGCAGAGCACAAGGGGAACACTCGCACACACCACCGCAACCAACTCCCTTTCACCCCGGCAACTGCACAGGCGCCGCACACATAACTCCTCTCACCATGGCAGTAAGTTCCGGGGTGTGTTGAGCCAGAGGCCGTTTCACCACCATTGGTGCTGCCACCTTCACATACGCGGGAGTAGGCTTACCCTCCGCCCCTCCCCCTCCTCCCCCTCCCCCTGCTCCCCCTGCTCCCCCTGCTCCTCCCGCTGCCCCTCCCCCTGACGCTCCTGCTTCCGCTCCTCCCCCATCTCCTCCCCCCATCCCCCCACCCACACCTGCTAGTGCTGCTGCTGGGGGGGGGCCTGGGGGAGGTCTCATCCCAGGGGGAGGCGGAGGGGGAACTCCCCCCGCGGGTCCTCCCCCCAGGCCCACGGGCGGACGGCCAGGGGGAGGGCCAGGGGGAGGGCGCATGCCTGGGGGAAGGTGGGCGGGGGGGCCTAGGGCGCCTGTGGGAGCGCCAGGGGCGGGGGAAGGGTGGGGGGGGCGGAGGAGGTGTGCGGGGGGAGGGCCGGGGGGAGGGTGCATGGATGGGGGCGCGGAACCCATGGGTCTGGGGGGAGGGCCGGGGGGAACTCCCCCTACGGGGCGGGGGGGAGGCGGAGGGGGGAGGGTACCAGGGGGAACCCCAGGGGGGGCTCCTGGGGGGGTCATTGGTGGGGGGAAAACAGGTGGGCGCATTCCTGGGGGGAGATTGGGGGGAGTGGCGGAAGGGGGGGCTCCAGGGGCAGTGCGGGGGGGAGGGGGAGGGGGAACACCAGAGGGACGAGAGGAAGGGGTGGAATCGGGGGGGAGGTGATGGCGAGGAGGGGGGGGAGGGGGGATCCTTTTCCCCTCGGCACTAGCAGCACCACCACCAGCAGCACCAGCACCAGCAGCACCAGCACCAGCAGCACCAGCAGCAGCAGCAGCAGCAGAAGAAGAAACAGACTCAACCCCAGGCGGCCTAGCATCCTCCTCTTCCCCTCCCCCCTCCGCTCCCCTCCCTCCCCCTGCCCCCGGTCGTGGGGGAGGGGGAGGGGGGCGCATCCCAGGGGGAAGTCCCACGCGGGGGGGAGGAGGGGGAGGTTGTTGCAAGTGCGGGGGGCGGAATTCGGGGGGGAAATTCGGGGGAGCCATGCCAGGGGGGGCGGGGGGAGGCGGGGGCACGGGGACAGGTATGGGGAGAGGCATGGGGACGCCTGGGGGGAGGGTGTGCGTGTCTGGAAGCGGGGGAGGTGGAGGGGGCGGGGGAAGGGGGACCATTCCCGCTGCTGCTCCCCCTGCCGCTGCCCCTGTTCCATGCTTCCCCTCCTCTCCCTCCCCCTCCCCCTCTTCCTCCTCCTCGTCCTCCTCATCCTCTTCGTCTTCATCCATTGAATCATCTTCCTCCTCATCCTCCTCTTCTTCTTCCCCTTCGCTTTTCCCCTGCCCTGCTGATGGCCTTGCTGCTCATGGTTGAGAGGCAAAGAGGGGAGAGGCAAGGAGGGGAGAGGCAAGGAGGGGAGAGGCAAGGAGGGGAGAGGCAAGGAGGGGAGAGGCAAGGAGGGGAGAGGCAAGGAGGGGAGAGGCAAGGAGGGGAGAGGCAAGGAGGGGAGAGGCAAGGAGGGGAGAGGCAAGGAGGGGAGAGGCAAGGAGGGGAGAGGCAAGGAGGGGAGAGGCAAGGAGGGGAGAGGCAAGGAGGGGAGAGGCAAGGAGGGGAGAGGCAAGGAGGGGAGAGGCAAGGAGGGGAGAGGCAAGGAGGGGAGAGGCAAGGAGGGGAGAGGCAAGGAGGGGAGAGGCAAGGAGGGGAGAGGCAAGGAGGGGAGAGGCAAGGAGGGGAGAGGCAAGGAGGGGAGAGGCAAGGAGGGGAGAGGCAAGAGGGGGACAGCGGAGGGGGAGGAGGAGTGAATGGAGACTACTTTTGAGACGTCTCAAAAGTGCCCTCACACTGCCAGTCACGGGCACTACACCCTTTCCCTTCGCTTCTTCCCTGCAGTGCCCTGCTAATGGCCTTGCTGCTCCCAGTTGAGAAACCAGACGAGGGGAGAGGCATGGGGAAAAAGGAAAATATAGGACAGACAAGAGAGAAGAATGACGAGTGAGTGTGGGAGGGGAGCGGATGCGGAGTGAGTTGTGGGAAGCGGGTGAGAAGAAGTGAGCGTGAGAGAAGAGGGTGAGGACGAGTGAGTGTGGAGTGTCATCCAGAAAACAGGCACGTAGGCGTGCAAATAATTAGTCACAGCCGCTCACTCACAGAGAGAGGGACGATACATGGGGGCTTTTCCTGGTAGGGGCTGCATGATAATAAATGAGAGAGGAGGTCGATACATGGGGGCATTCGAGTCGAGCAAACAGTCACGGCCGCTCACTCACAGAGAGAGGGACGATACATGGGGGCTTTTCCTGGTGGAGGCTGGCCTGAAGGATTCAGGGTTGGATGATAGTACACGGAATCCTGCCAAAGGAGCAACAAGAATCAAAAGCAGGGTTGGGATACAGGCAGGATGTGAGCAGGGTATAGGACACGAATGAATCAATTGCAAGTGATATTTCTAAACAAAGTGAACCCTCTCAAGTCCTGGGACACCTAAGAACACACCGATTGGCCATAGAAGCGTGGTATGCAAGCATGGGATGGATGGCGGATGGGGGTATGCTTATGCTTCTGGGTGGGAACGGCGAGATGATTTCGTGGTCTTGGCTCAAAGGCACTTACCTCATGGCCTTGACACAAACGTCTAGGTCAAGGAATCAATGCAAACACACAAAGCACAGTCGGTAAAATAATCAATGCACCTTACAATGGTGGGGGGTTAGCAAATACTAAACAAATCCAATTCCCACACTTTTTCCCACAACCGCCTTTCTCCTCCCTCCTCTCCCCACACTCTTCCCTTACCCAACCTCATCACTCCACACTTCCCCCCAAATCCCTCCCCTCTCCTAATTCCTCTCCCCCCCTCCTCAGCATCACCTATTGCCTGATCTGTGCACACACACGCACCTCTGGGCGAAGATTCCTGATGGCTTCATTGGCAGACTTGCGAGGGGCAGTGAGATGGCTGGAAGGGGGAGAATGGGCAAGAACGCAACAAGGGGGAATACATGGGGAAGCGCGAGAGCAGAAAGTGGTAGTTAGTTTTACGGTTAATGGGAAGAACAGGGACAAGAGGCAGAATGAGAGGTTGCGCAGTGAAAATAGAATGGGGTTGAGGAGGGTTGAGGGGGAAGGGAGGAGGGGCGATGGGGGAGGGAGGAGGGGTGAGGGGGGAGTGGGGAGGGGAGGGGGGAGTGGGGAGGGGAGGGGGGAGGGGGGAGGGGTGACAAAACAAGGCTGCAATGAAGAAGGCTGCACTTAGTTAAGTGGCAGGTGGGAAGAGGGGAAGCGGATGCAGCACGAAACATGGAGCGCCAGTTGAGAGTGCGAGTGACAATGGAATAAGCAGCGAATATTGAGCAGAAAGATCGCTGCAACGAGGAGGTGTTTCTCTTGTGTGCTGAGGCAGCTTGTAAAGGGTACAAGGGGTAGATGTTTCTGACCAAGGGTCACCTGAACATGACTGGGTCCTCCCCCCGTTCCCTCATTTTCTGCTCAAACTCCTGCTCACAAGAGGGGACGCGAGGAGAGAGGGGGGCAGCAGGGTGAAGCAGGGGGCAGCAGGGGGAAGCAAGGGGAAGCAAGGGGAAGCAGGGGGAAGCAGGGGGGAGCAGGGGGGAGCAGGGGGAAGCAGGGGGAAGCAGGTGGAAGCGGAAAAAGAGTGTGTGCGAAGGCAGTGGGATGAACATTACTGGGTCCTCCCCCCGCTCCCTCATTTTCTGCTCAAACTCCTGCTCGCACGAGAGTGGGGGGCGTTGGAGAAAGGGGGATGGGTTGAAAAAGGATTGGAGGGATGGGAAGGGTTACCGAGAGCGAGAGGAGGGAAAGGAAGGGGTTGGAGAAGGAAGAAAAAACGAAAACCGAAGGGAGGAATTTAATAGAGAAAAAAACAGGAGGCGCGAGAAAAAGTCAAGACAGTCAAAAAAAAATTCAGACCTTACATAATGCACCTTCACGTTTCACCACAGCAGTCACTGGCACTCCCTTTTTTGCCCCAACACAATGTTCCCAGCACAGCCCCGCACCACCCTTTATCACTCCACTCCCCCACTCCCTTTTCCCCCTACTCCTCCTCCACCACAAGCCCCCCTTCCCCCCCCCAACCCCTCCCCCTCCCCCCCCCGGATCCCCCCATGACCCTCGCGTTTCCTCCTTTTACCTTGCGTTTCTTGAGCACCAGCTGCAGCCGGTCCTCCAGCTGCCTCAGCTTGTGCTTGCGGGTCTTCTCCATGGGTCCCTCTGACTCTGCATTCACAACCAGCACACACGGCACACACAGCACACACCGCACGCACCGCACGCACGGCACACACAGCACACACCGCACGCACCGCACGCACGGCACACACAGCACACACCGCACGCACCGCACGCACGGCACACACGGCACGCACGGCACGCACCGCACGCACGGCACGCACGGCACGCACCGCACGCACGGCACGCACGGCACGCACGGCACGCACGGCACGCACGGCACGCACGGCACGCACGGCACGCACGGCACGCACGGCACGCACGGCACACACGGCACACACGGCACACACGGCACACACGGCACACACGGCACACACGGCACACACGGCACACACGGCACACACGGCACACACGGCACACACGGCACACACGGCACACACGGCACACACAGCACCCGGCACACACGGCACACACATGGCACACGGCACACACGGCACACACGGCACACACGGCACATCACATCTGACAGGTATTTTCCAGCTGCCTCATCAAACGTTGTGCATGCGGCAACTTTGGCCCGTGCTGATCTTCTCGCGCGGGGTTCGCTGGGCAGAACGCTGGTCTCCGAGGATCCGGAAATCGCGCGGATCCAAAAATGACTAAAATGACAAAAAGGGAAAGCACTAATGGAACTTGACGCACTGGCCGCGCTGAGCTTGACGATCTGCTCGCGAATCGCGGCGGGATCGCTGAGCGGAACCGCAGGTTTCGCGGACCAACAGATCCTTACGGAACTGAAAACAACACACAAAGGAGAAATACTGATGGGAGTTGACGCACTGGTCGCGCTGAGCTTGGCGATCTGCTCGCGAATCGCGGCCGGATCGCTGCGCAGAACGCCGGTCTCGCGGACTTTGCGGCGCTCCACCTTGTTCTTCTTGATCTCGCGCTTCCGCTGCTCCTTGCGAAAGGAGTCCGTCGGATTCATCGTCCGCCCGCCCTTGGTCTTCCTCATCTTGCCGTATGCTTGGTTGGAATAGTAGGTCTGACAGTGTATTTGAAAAAAAAACTCAACCTCGATGATACCTACGACGCGATATTCTACGATAAAATCGGGTCGTCAACGAATTGCTAATAGACGGTGGAGCAACGGTTAGATAGTGCTGTGAGGCTCTGACACAATACGCATGTGCAGCGATCGTAAAAAGGTATCACCCCGAGGTCAATAAAACGGATGTCTCAAGCTCCACGGAAAACGGGAATCGCACGGCGACCTTGCGCAGCGATTAGGGCGACGAGAGAAACAACAGGTCAGAACGACGGGAGAGAGAGCCTGAAATGATTCTAGAATGACCAGAAAGCAGCAGCGGATAATTGGGGCAGGCCTTGGAGGATCCCTGCAACATGAAAGGCGAGAACGAACGAATTGGCGAAGTAACACTCTAAGTCTCGCCAGCCTCGAATTGGCGAAGTAACACTCTAAGTCTCGCCAGCCTCGAATTGGCGAAGTAACACTCTAAGTCTCGCCAGCCTCGAATTGGCGAAGTAACACTCTAAGTCTCGCCAGCCTCGAATTGGCGAAGTAACACTCTAAGTCTCGCCAGCCTCGAATTGGCGAAGTAACACTCTTAGTCTCGCCAGCCTCGCTTCGCCACAGTTCGCCGAAACGGGTGTTCTCAAAAGCGCCGCCCGTGGGGCTCGAACCCTCGACCACAAGGTTAAGAGCCTTGCGCTCTACCGACTGAGCTAGGGCGGCTATTTGTAGTGCAAAAAGTTTACTTTCATTGTATAAAGCTAGCATTCTATACACCTCCTCAGCGATATATTTTTCGCGTTGTCTCGCATCACCCGCAGCCATGGCGCGTAACGAGGAGAAGGCGAACGCCGTGCTAAATCGCTTCTGGGCCGCGAAGCAGGAGGAGAAGCGCAAGCCGCGGGAGAAGCGCCCGTTCCTCGCGTCCGAATGCCGCGACCTATCAGACGCCGACAAGTGGCGGCAGCAGATCTTACGCGAGATCGGACGGCGAGTAACGGAGATTCAGAATCCCGGTTTAGGCGAGCACCGTCTAAAGGATCTAAACGACGAGATCAATAAACTCATACGAGAAAAAGGGCACTGGGAGAAACGGATAGTTGAGCTTGGCGGTCCGAACTACGCGAAACAAGGGCCCAAGATAACTGACGCGGACGGTAAAGAAGTCGGCGATGGAGACGATGAGCTGCCGGCCGGCTCGGCGACCGGCAAGGGGCTTGGGTACCGTTACTTCGGCGCTGCGAAGAACCTGCCGGGTGTTCGCGAGCTTTTCGAGAAGCCAACGGCGCCGACAAAGAAGCGGAATCGATACGAGCTTTATAAGCGTATCGATATGGACTATTACGGGTACAGGGACGAGGAGGACGGGATCCTGGTGCGTCTCGAGGCGGAGGCTGAGCGGGTGATTGTAGCGAAGGCGGTGCGGGAGTGGGAGGCGCTCGAAGCAGTCAAAGCCGAGGCGCGCCGCGCCGTGAAAAGCGGGGAGGAGGCTTCGATCCGGGTCGAGGCGGATCTGCTAGACGAGCTCGGCGCGCCTATTGACGCCCGGGGGATCGTCGTGGCGCAAGAGAGAGAGGAAGCGGAGGAGGAAGTGGAGGAGACGGAAGAGGATCGCAGGCAAGCGGGGGAGCGCGCGCGGCGCGACGCGGCGGCGTCAGATGCGGCGTTAGACGCGGCGGAAGAGGCGGCGCTGGATGCGGTGGGCGGGCGGCGGTTCGTGGCGCATGTTCCGCTGCCCGACGAGAAGGAGATTGAGCGCATGGTGGTGGCGAAAAAGAAGGCGGAGCTCTTAAGTAAGTACGCGAGCGCGGAGCTGGTGAAAGAGGAGCAGGAGGCTAAAGAGTTGCTAAACATCAAGCGGTGATGATGGGCATGAGCGGGTGATGTTCAGTATATGGAGGTTGGAATGGCAGCTGACGTGGCATCCATAGTTGGAGGCGAGCTGGTGCAGGAAGAGGAGGGGACATTAAGAGGGTGGTTCATCTTAGCGTGGTGATGGGATGAGGTAGAACTACATGCGCATGCTGACGTGGCATGTTTAGAGTGGATGTGGTGAGAGTTGTGGGAAGAGGGGAGGAGGAGGAGGAGGAGGAGGAGGAGGAGGAGGAGGAGGAGGAGGAGGGGGGGGGGAGAGAGGAGGGAGAGGAGAGAGAGAGGGGAGAGGGAGAGGGGAGAGGGGAGAGGGAGAGGGGAGGGGGGAGAGGGAGGGGAGAGGGGAGAGGAGAGATGAAGGAACGAGGAGAGGTGGAAGGAGAGAGGAGGTGAGGAGGATAGGAGGAAGCAGAGGGGAGAGGAGGAAGGAAAAGGGAGGGGGGAAGGAAAGGGGAGAGGGGGAAGGAAAGGGGAGAGGGGGAAGGAGAGAGGAGAGGAGGAAGAGAAAGGAGAGGGGAGGAGAGAAGGAAGGAGAGAGGAGGAGAAAACGAGGAGAGAGGAGGAGAAAAGGAGGAGAGAGGAGGAGGATGGAGAGAGGAGAGGAGGAGGAGAAGAGCAGGAGAGGAGGAAGAAGAAGAAGAAAGGAGGAAGCAGAGGAGGTGTGTGTGACCGTGCATTAAGGTCACCTACCTTTGAGCCAAGTGAAAAAGGATTGGCTAATTGTGAGGTTAGGATTAGGGGTGGATGCTTCTGAATGATGGAGGGAACCTGATTTGTACTGTGTCTTTTTGCTATGCTCTTATCTGACTGCTGTAATGGAGAGAGCCAGACTGAATCAAGGTTTGGCCGGAAGAGATGATACATAGTGACCTCAAACCAGTATGCTTTTCCAAAACTTGGTATCCAAGCATCTCTCACGTCCAGCATGTAGTAACGCAACAAGACACGTCATTTACTGTAAATCTCCACTATCCCTATACATTCAAGCAGTGCTTCTCCAGAAAATTTGCCAAGGTGGTTGTTGCCCCAGGACATATGGTAGGAGCTTTGACTTAGGGCAGTAGGTTTGCCTCTAAAAATTGGCTTGAGGCGCAGTAGGGGTGCCTCCTCAAGCAGCTCTAGAAGACATCTGGGGGAGCAAGAGGGTCCCTGCCGACAGTCTTGAACGAGGTCTGAATCTGCCGCAGCAATGCCTCATCCCTGAGAGTGGGGAGGCGGGAGAGTGGGGATGGGGGAGGGATTGAGGGAGAGGGAGAAGAGAGGGAGAACCGAAATGACTTGGAAGTGCTATTTAACGTTTCTTGCCAACTCAATGCCTCTTTCCAGGGGGAGAGGGGGCGGAGGTGGGGATGGAGAAGACGGAGAGCAGAGGGGATAATTGAGTGAGATGAGAAGGAACAACTGGTGAGAGGGAATAGCTAGCAGGGCAGTGAAACACTAGGAAAATCGATAACTTCTGTCTTCCAGAATTCATCCGGTGCGTTGATATAGCAGGAAAGAACGTACGTTTTCCAGAATTTATCCGGGGCGTTGACGAAGTGAGCATAGAGCTTGTTCTTGGCGGCGGGTGACGGTGATGAGGGCGTGGCCCAGCGGGCTGTCGATCTCAAAGTCATAGTACAGCTGGTTGCTGTCAGGGTCCCGGTGCTGCCCCTGCTTGATCTCGTCCGCCGACAGAATCAAATCCTGCAAGCGGGAGGGGAGGAAGGATGGAGGAACCGGGGGCGAGGGAGGGGGAGTGAGGCCTAGGGTTCGTTAAAGGGCATTCCAGTGCTGCGCCTGCCTTATCTGGTCCGCTGAAGCAGATGCTGCAGGTGGGTGGGATGGGGTGGGGCGCACGTGACAGTGATGAGGGCGTGGCCCAGCGGGCTGTCGATCTCAAAGTCATAGTACAGCTGGTTGCTGTCCGCGTCCCGGTGCTGCCCCTGCTTGATCTCATCCGCCGACAGAATCAAATCCTGCAAGCGGGAGGGGAGGAGGGGAGACGGGTGGTGGATGTCAGGGTCAGTAATAAGTAGGAGGCTTGTCCCTCAATTGCCAACATCCTACCAAAATTCAGTCGTCAATCTCCATTCAACCTCTCTACCACTTCCCCGCCTCTCCTCCCCAAACATTTCACCAGCCCCATCCCTTTCTGTCCACGGACGTCCTTGAAACGAAGAAATAATTATAGGTCAAAAGAGCCTCAGTTCAAACGACCCATCAACCTGCATGGTGGGTCCAGCAGAGCAATGACTTTTAGCAAATTGTTTTAAGCGCCTCAAGAGTAGTTCTTTCAATCTAAAAAAGTTGTGAGGCGTCCAAAATGTTGAGTACTTGTTTTGATGCGGGTCAAGATCAGTTATCTCTGTTCAAGTCTTCAAGAAGGATTCAGTTCGAGTCAGACGACCCACGCACCTGTAGGTTGACGTCCGAGAGAGCAGTGTCGCTCAGCACGTTGTCTGCGGCACTTCAATAGACTTTGCTTCCAAGGCAAAGATTTTCCATTTCTGTCACGGTCAGGTGGTCCCACTCACCTGCAGGTTGACGTCAGAGAGAGCAATGTCGCTCAGCACGTTGTCCTGCGGCGGAAGGCGGCGGAAGCCTGGCGCAAGAGGGGACAGGGAGAGCGGCAAGGCGGGGAGGGGGACGTATAAGGGGGAAGAGGACTACGGGACGGAACTTGCAAACGATGGGACTCAAGAAACGTCTGAAAGAGCAACGCCGTTCGGGATCGTGGACCGGACTCGCTATCCGTACCATTGCTCCATTTTCTTCTTTATGCGCTCCTTCCACTTATGAGATGTTTCAAAACACACCGGCTCAAAACTCATCAGCGAGGACTGTAACTCAAGTCGCCACCTCGCGGTTCTTGGGCCAAAAGTACTCGCTCTCTGTGCCGTTGATTTCCTTCTCCACCTCTGAAATCGCGAGCTCCTTCCAATTCTGAGACGTCTCAAAACTCACCGGCGAGGAAGGTGACGTAGGTCTTCACGTTGCGGTTCTTCGGCCAGAAGAACTCGCTGTCCGTTCCATTGGTACCCTTCTCCACCTTGGAAATCGTGCGTTCCTTCCAATCCTCGGGAACGCCGTAAACGTACTCAGCCGTCGCCTGCTTGCTCGCGTTCCCGCCGTACCCGCCATAGGACGACGCGCTAGCAGCTGTGCCGTAGTACGTTTTCAATTCCACGTCGGCGAATGCGGGGTCGACGGAGCCGCAGAAAAGCGCTGCCGTGGCGGATAAGGTCACCGCGGCTGTGCCGAGCCACTTTGCCACGTCAGCGGGTTGAGAAGTAACGTCATCCTTTCGCGCCTCGGCTCGGCATTTGAGCGAGGTAATGCGTGTCGACGACGAGGGGGTGGGAGTGTGCGAGAAGGAGGAGGCAGGGAGCGAAGCAGACACGCCAGCAGCGACGGTTAGAGCTGCAGGGAGAGACGTCACGGACGCCATCGCTCAGCTACCAAGACCGAAGCAAGAAAGAATCTTCTGACCAGCGCTACCGACCACCGCTACTCACACTCTTCGCCCTAATGCCAAGGACTATCTAGGACCTAGTTTCCTGGCTGCCTGAAACAATGTGTGTTACTGAACAATGTAGCCTGAAACTTGAGTGTGCGCTGGAGTTATCTAGGTGCTGGAATGTGGCAGAGTCAGGATTCTGGAACCTTGATTCTTGATTTCGGGTTACCAGCATTAGGTGCGGGTGGGAAGGTGATGGCGTGGCAAATGGTGATACTGAAGAAACTGGTGATTGGAGAAGGGAATATCCGATGACAAATCACACAAGGGCGATGACGTGGAACAAAGATGGATTCAGCCCTGACGACGCCTGAATTTTACGCTAAAGTGTGACGCGTCAAGCATTCACATTCCATCCTTCTTTCGCGTGTCAGCCAGCACGCTGTATAACGAGAGCATAACGAACCATAGAAAAACATGACACGAAGTATAACATGACTACAAAAACAAAGATAACAATAAGCCTCATGTACTGTATTTCAAGCCTTATTCCCCTCTACCCCCTCTTACGACATGGGAAAACATCGCACCACTAAAGACACACAAGACCCTCTTAGGAATAGCACCGCTAAGCACAACCATGGCTTGGGGGAACCCAAGGGATGGAGCCGTTCCACAAAAGAACACTATAGATGCTGTAATACCACTCCCACAACCAGCATCGTGTAGCCACGACACCCTGGCAAATCCACGAATCTACATAGCAAGTCTCCTGCGGGGATCCCCAGCAACACTTCCACCAGCAACACTGGAACCGCCAGCTGCAACGAGCCCAGCAGCCTGCAGCTGCTCCTGCTGCCTGTGCTGCGCGGGAATGAGGAAGTAGAAGGCCGGCTCGTTGCGCAGCGCTGCGGGCGGATCGATGTCGTCGAGAACAAACTCCTTCATGGAGCGCGACACCTCGTCCGCTTGGAACGGACAACTGTAAGAGTGGGTAGCAGGTGGACAGTAAGGGAAAGCACAAGACAGGTAAGGGAATATGAGGGGCTTGTAGCAGTCATGCTGCAGGCGGATCGATGTCGTCGAGCACAAACTCCTTCATGGAGCGTGACACCTCGTCCGCTTGGAACGGGCAGCTGCGAGCATTGGAGAGGGGGGGTTGGGACAGGAGCGGGGTCAGGCAGGACGCATGAGCATGAGAGGGGTGGGAAGGTGCGAATGGCAGTTACGATGCAGGCGGATCAATGTCCGGGTCCCGGATCGTCCATGTTGCTTCCTGGGCACACAGAGCTAGGTTACTGGTATGCCTCTGCATGGTTTTGTCTCACCTCTTGTCTTCCTTGAGCTGGTATTATCTTCCGTGTTCTTTTCCTGGCATGTCCTTGTGTTCTTTTCCTATGCACACAACACAAGCTCCCTGCTAATCTCACCTCTTGTCCTCCTTCAACAGGAAAGGAGCATCTTCAGTCATCAGCGCCCACATCTGCTCAATCACAGCGGGATCCACCCCGGGTGACCCGTCCTTGTCGTCCTCAAACCACGTGCAGATGTGT